ACGTGTCAGATGTCACCTAGATCAAAGTAATATTCTATTAGCTGAACAATTTGGATTCAGAAATAAACATAGTACAATCCAACAACTAGCCCGTGTAACCGATTATATTGCTGATAATTTTAACAAGAATCGAAGCTCTGGCTTATTATTATTAGATATTGAAAAGGCATTCGATACTGTATGGCATAAAGCATTAATACACAAACTCTTAATGTATGATTTACCTATGTATATAATAAAATTTGTAAAGGACTATCTTAAAGCCCGTTCATTTGTGGTAGCAATTGGAAATGAATATAGTACACCTCGTAAAATAACAGCCGGAGTATCACAAGGATCTATCCTTGGGCCACTACTGTTTTTACTGTACATTAATGATATTCCAAAATATGCAACAACTAAAATCGCTTTATTTGCGGACGATACAGCTATACTAGCATCATCCTTCAGCAAAGATATATTAATACGCGAATTACAAAATCATATAATTATACTTGAAAAATATTACGATAATTGGAAAATAAAAATCAACGTTGATAAGACCGAATTAATGATATGTTCACACAAAAATAAGAACACAATTGCAACACTACAAATGAACGAGCAAATACTTGAAACTACAAATAAAGCCAAATATTTGGGTCTCACATTAGATAATAAGTTAACATTTAACGATCATATAAAAACAATTGTCAACAAAGCAAACATAGCGATCTCTATGCTATATCATTTACTAAATGACTATCGGTGAGAATAATATGAAACCTTGAAAAGGCACAAATTCAAGTCAAGACCTTTGCAATCACACGAAATTTCTCTAAAAAAACCGATTTTATCATATGACTGTCCTGGACATGTATTTTTTCTTATTCTCTTAATAATATAGATTAGTCTCAACTAACAGGAAAATATTTTCATGATTATTTATAAACAGAGTTAACAATCAAAGAGTAACCAGATGAAATAAATACCCGAATAGTGACAATATACAAGATTTTATTTGTCACATTTACGAGAAAAATTATCTCCAATTTATCTAAGCAACTTTTATGACCCATTTACAAGCTTACTGCAAACGTTTCGTCCCACGACATTTCTACCTCAATCAAATTGTATTAAAATAAATCTATTTTAGTTTCTTATTGTTATATTACTTAAGTTGAACAATATAATATTCTCTCATCAGATAACATTATAACATTTTTTTTTTTGGCTCTGCATAAATAGCCGAACTTTTAGATTTTATTAATAAATAATTTGCAATTTGTTTGTTTGTAAGTTTTGAAAGTAAAACACCGAAAATAATTTTGCTTACAGAATCTAGCAAGAATTGAAAAAAAACTGGTTCATATTTAATCTCGTAAAGCTTTATGTTAGTTTTATCATAAAAATATATTGGCAGGACACGCGTAAAAACAACGCGGCGATCCGCAAAGCGCAGGCTTCTTTAACGTTGTTCATCCCCGCGCGAAAACGAACCGCATTTAGTCGACGCTTCTCGTCTAGCTCGGGTCTTCTCTTTGAATTTAAGCTACTGCTGATGATGCTTTAAGCCTTAAATTTTACAATAAATAAAAAATATAATTATCCTAGCAGATATTTACCTGATCTTACCGCAAATCAATTATATAATATTTTTTATATTTAACCATTATTAACATTATTATAATTATTATTTTCTATTTTTTTTATTTTTATTATTGCTCTGAGTGAAAAGTTTAAGAATTATTCAAGCATTTTTTATGAATTGAAATAAAAAAATAGGATGTTAATTTGTGAATTAATGAGTGAGATATTAATATGACTATTTGTTCAGTGCTAATGCTTTTAGATAATGTGGAGAAAAAATTATATGTAAAATCAATTTTTAAATTCAAGGTCAAGATTATTTAATCGTATAAATAGCAATGTGATGGTGTAATTATAGATTAATTTTGTAAAAACAAAAATTGTGAAGAAAACCAAATGTGCGATTTAATGGTTTCTATTTGTATTTTGGAATGATAATTTCTTTTAAATTTTTACATCTGTTTGATTGGTAAGATTTATTATATTTATATTAGATGTGTATCTTAATTTTTATTAAACAGGATCTTTAATTAAAATTTTAATTATCTTTTTGGTCGAGAAATTCAGTGGGTAGAAAATAGACGTTATAAGTTTATGCTTTAAATAATTTTATTACTAAAAATAATAAATTTTTAATGGAAAAAACTGATGATTAAAAGTTTCAAAAAAATATTAAAAAAATTTTTTTACTTTCAGCAGGCTTTCATCACCGTTTAAAATTTAACAGTAAACTATTTAATGTTTAAGTTTGATTATTTTTATTTTATTTTTACTCCTAAGATAAATTGCCCAAGAAAGTTTAAAATTTCACAGTTTATAGTTAATGAACTTAATTATAATTATCTTAAAATGGTAGTAGTAGTATTAATTTAAATTTACCGGAATGTATAGTGTATCGGATATAAAGCCCGGCGCTAATTAAGCATTCCACTTTACAAACGGCAACTCGAGTGCAATCTGAAATCATGTAACCCGATGAGGCACTCCAAATTCACAACTTTGATAATTACACTGTTAATTACATCTGTATATTGTATTAAACAATCGAGGAGTTAATTGGTATAGCCCACTCAATTGATCACCTTTGAATTTATTGACCGACTTTGATGTGTATTCTGACATTACAAATTAACATTTCAGTACATCCTCTTGTTTATTTAAGCAACATATTAATCTAATGTTAGACTACTAACCACAGTGTCAAATAAATAACTACGCACCTTATCAAATAAAGTTCTTTGAACTGTTTAATAAAAATAATTTATCGTATTTTCTCTTTCTAAAAATATTTATTAATAAATTTATTTGCGTATTTGATTATGTACGCGATTATTTTCAAATATGATTCGCAAAATGTTAATTATTAATACCTTGAAAAATAATAATTAAATGTATGTTAAATGATACAGCAAACTAACATATTTAAATTTTAATATTTTCTAGAACAATTCCATTAAAGTAAAAAAGTATTTCGTTAAAAAAAAAAAAAAATATATACATACATATAATAAAACACATTTCGAGTCAAATTATCGTCACTTGTGTCAACTTTTGCTTAAATTGAATATCAAGTTTTTTATTTATTGTATTCGGTAGTGATATATACATATATATATGACAGTAAAATATAAGTACTGTAATTAATATCCAAATAGATAATAGTCGATTTTGTTAACCAATCGAAAATTACGGGCAATAAATTGATACCTTATGTGTAAATATGAAACAAATGGTTTATTTGTCTCGTCGTCGTTTTTTTACATCTCAATAAAATAAAAAAAGATACGAAATAAAAAATTATAAAACAGTAGTACAGTAGGTGAATTCTGACGGCGCATAACCATTTTTCGGTAAGCTGGTGAATATTTAATAGGCAAACAGCTTTAAAAAACATTAAAAAAAAAAAGTAATAAAATAAAAAGAAAAAATTGTTTCCTTTTAATTTATTAAAATTGCAAAAAAAAAAATTTGAAAAAATCGTTAAATTAATGTAGTTTAGCCTCATAAATATTCATAAATTTATCTTTGCATTAATCAATATTCTATGCATTTGTTGTGTTTAAAAATTAGAATAGATAAAAATTTACGTTATGTTACATTTACGGTCATCACAATAACACTACAGTGCTGGTGTGTAGTTTACAAAAATATGTTTTTTGTCGAGATTAATTTCGAGATAATGAAATTTCTTATTTTCGCCGTACATTGAGTTAAACTTTTAAACTTGGGCCTATGGCTGAACTCTTATTTTCGTTTTAGTTTAGTTGATTTAAAAACAACAAGTAAATAAATATATGTATCTATTAGTTTACCAAGTTAAGTCAAATGAGTCCCAACTTTGTTATAAGATAAGGTCAGCTATCTGCCTGATTAATGTTACGGCCTAGCAGTAAGATTAATTCGAAAACGAGCTGTTGCTTATTATCTCGCTGGTTGTTAACTGGATCAACGTGTTACTAATCTGTTATCGTCTCATTTACTTTAATTGACTACACAAAATAACATTATTAGTTAATAAATTATCATTAGAACACCCTAAATTGATAAAAATTAGTTTTGCCTGATCAGGGTTGGAAAATATTTAATATAATTTAAATTGGCAATAATACAACGGCTCTTATTTGACTGCACGGCATTTTAAAAGTTACTTATTGAAACTCAAATAAATTTTATTGAATCTAAGTACTAATTAAAAATTTTGAATACATTTTTTTGTTTTTTCTCCAGCCATCCCACACACAAAAATATAAAAGGGAAACAAATGATAATATATTTTTCAATTATAATAAAATTTCTACTGTCTCATCGGACCTACAGAAACTTTTTTGGGTGTCTGAGTTGAAAGAAAATAAATTTTTCAGTTGGAAGCACATTTATAATCTTTCAGAAACAAAAAAATATATTTGTATCATTATCATTATTAAAAAATCTGATAAATAGTTGAAACTTTTGTAATAAATAAATAAAAAAAAATTTATAGCAGAGATTAAAAAAAAGTCAAGAAAGAAATATTAATAAGAACCGTGAATCGTAAAAAATATAATCTTAAATATCCAGTCATACATTTAAAAAGATATTTATCATTATGAGTATATGAAGCAACAAAAAGCTCAATCGGATTTACTTTTAACATGTATATATATATATATATATATATATATATATATATATATATAAATCATCTTTTATGATTGTTCTCCCCCTGAAGAAAGTAAAAAAAAAAATACATTAATATAATCTATTATCCGTAAAAGCTCGTTTCAAAATATCTATACATCAATATTGAAAAAAATCATACATAAATTTTGTAAACGCAAAATCTTAAGAGAGAAAAAAATGTAAAAGAAATACTAAAAGTTATGAAAATTGAAATAAAAATTAATAATATAAATTTTTTGTACGACCACATTGTACAGGCCATCGATTCCAGGATGACCAATATATCGTGGTTCCCAGAGGATGGAATTATCGAGCCACTTTTCCCAACGAATCTTAATGAAACATATGGATTCAACGACAGCGAGACATTCTTATACGATGACATTGGTATGCAGTAATATTTAAATTTATATACTCAGTTAACGTTTTCTAGGATGGAATTTTCAACATTATTCACCGTGTCACTATTTTTATTGTTTTTTTTTCTGCTCATTTTAAAATTACTAATTTTAGTTTAACGTTAAAATTTAATCAGTGATTTTTTAATTGGATGAAAATTTTAATTAGTTTGAAAGACAGAAACAGCTAAATGTGATCACAAGTTATAAATATAAATATAGAGGATGATAATATTCCGAGTAATTTAGACGGAAATTTGATCTCTTATTAAAATATAATCTTCAATAACAAACTGTGATTTACTGCTACTTTATTAAAGATTCAAGATTGCTACTGGAGTAGAGAAAATCTAATGCGTGAGAGAACGCGATTTTATTGAAAACAAAGTTGAAATTTGAGTTGTAGACACGCTAACATCTCTTTAATCTTTAATATAACAACGTATTATGATGGGTATATGTATATATTTATCTAAATGTACTGTGTTTATTACAGATAGTTTATACGATGTACCGGTAGGAATAATATTCCTATTAAGTATATGTTATGGAAGCATATCAGTACTTGCTGTGGTGGGTAATTCTCTGGTGATGTGGATTATTGCGACTTCCAGACGAATGCAAAGTGTTACTAATTGCTTTATTGCTAATCTCGCGCTCGCTGATATTGTTATTGGACTGTTTGTTATTCCATTTCAAGTAAGTTTTGCTTTAATTAGAGAAAATTTAAGATTTATTCATGCAATAAAATTATTACTTTCATAGCTATAAAATATATTTTAAAAGTGAAATAAATTTATTCTGAACGGTCACGTATCATAAAAGTAAATTTTTAAAAAATAGTTTCAGGCAGCATTGCTTCAGCGATGGAATTTACCCCATTTCATGTGTGCATTTTGTCCATTTGTCCAAGTGCTTTGCGTTAATGTATCTGTATTTACATTGACAGCAATCGCTATAGACCGACATCGAGCGATATTAAAACCTTTAAGGTAAAAGTTATTTCAATTGAAGAGGCATTAATATAAAAAATAATAATATACGTAGTGAAAATATGGATCAACATTAAAGTACACAAGAGTATAAAAGGAGTAAAACACTCTGCAAACAATGCATACCCTAACCGGTCATTTAATCTGTCTTTTTGGGCGCTTCAAAAGATTAAATTTAATTTTATAATGTACAAACAACCTTCATTATGGTTTTAATTTTATTAAAAAAGATTGAATTTTTTTTTTTCTTAGTGCACGTCCGAGTAAGCTTAGAGCTAAAATGATCATCGCTGGGATTTGGGTGATAAGTGGAGTTTTAGCAGCTCCTATGGCTGCTGCACTTCGAGTTATTTTTATACCAGAGCATATTGCAGGTAAAAAATTGTAATGATCTGATAAAAAGTTTAAATAACTTTAATCGTTCATTTTTATTAAAAGTTTTATCCAACGGTACGATACAATTTTTATCATCATTTTATCACGATTATACCAAATGTCCGCGTTACAAAGTCTAATAATCTAATAATCCAATAACCCTTAAATTTTATGAGTGTTAAATTTAAAATAAATATATAACATGACGGTAGAAAATCTTTAATCAACTAAATGTATTTGTAGTGGCTTTGATGAATCAATTCTCCCCGTGTGTAAAACATAATTAACTAGTAACAACCGAAAATAAGTCAATTATAAAAATAAAATGTATTTCCTCTGATGAATAAACAAGGTGACATTTTATGTTTATAAAACATAATAAATGTTTGTTCTGACCGTATGGTATACGATAATATTATCTTGATAATGATAATTAAAATGACAAATTTATAAAACAGGACGACTACATTTACGGCCGTTTTGTCAAAATGAAAATATGTCGGAAAAATCAATGCTGACTTATCGAGCGTTACTTGGATTTTTACAATACCTTACTCCATTATCAATAATATCGTGTGTATATACACGAATGGCGCTTAGGCTTTGGGGCAGTAAAGCACCCGGCAATGCACAGGATTCACGTGACGCAAACCTTATGAAAAATAAAAAAAAAGTAAGCTACAGTAAAAAATTTAATAACATTCATTAAATTATGCATAAAAGGTATAAAAAAAAGTTTTTCCCTCGCAATAATATTTTTTATTCTTCGGTAGGTTATTAAAATGCTAGTTATAGTAGTCGCGCTCTTTGCAATCTGTTGGCTTCCCCTCCAAACCTACAATGTTCTACAGTACAATTATCCAGAAATAAATGAGTAAGTTGTCGACAAAATTTATTACTGTTATTACTATTTAAATACTTGGTTTAGATATAATTGATATTGAGTGTCAGCGATAAATTAATTAAATCTATTGAATTTAAATAAAATTATCATCAGCATTAATCCGTTAAATTATTTAATTTATCAATTCGAATTTGAATAAAGTTAGTATTGACAAGCTGTTTCAAATAAAATAATTCGATTGTGTCAAGCCAAATTTATGCAAATAGTGATAAGTGATTAATTATACTTGTCAATGAATTTATTGCTCAACTAATAAATAATTAACAGATTAACACCTTTTTAATTTAGATACAGATATATAAATATTATATGGTTTTGTTTCGACTGGTTGGCTATGTCAAACAGTTGTTACAACCCTTTTATCTATGGAATTTACAATGTAAGTAAACAGTTCTACAGAGTTGGCTTTTTAATCTTCAACTGATTAATTCAAATTATTATTATTTTTTTTATGGTATTAGGAAAAATTTAAAAGAGAATTTAAACAAAGATGTCCGTTTACATCTAGAAGATGGTCAACGAATCATCCAATAGATAGTTACGATATGGATAAAACACAGAGTACTAGGACATCATTCAAGTACATCCTTAGGTAAATTAATCATTTCCCTAATTTTTTTTTCTTTTCAACTTACCGCTAAGAAAATTGAAAATTTTCCAAAACTTAGGAAGTTACTGGACTTACCCCGTTTTTCGAAAATCAAGTTTTGAGGTCCGAGGAAGCTTCCTCGAATGTTTCCGCGATGATGTCCATATGTCTGTATGTATGTGTGGCCGTATGTAAACCTCTCATAACTTTTGAACGGCTCGACCGATTTCATCGCGGTTGGTGCCATTCGAAGGGGCTTGACCAAACTTAGATTTACAATACAATTTGGACCGAATCGGCCGCGATAGCCGTGCGGATTAATGCGTTAGTCTGTACAGATATCGTGCCGAGAGGCGCGGGTTCGAGCCCCAGCGGTTGTTAGAAAATTGATTTCAACAACAACCGCTGAGGGTCGCTCTCGTAGCCGAACTGTACTGACCAGGTTTTCTGTGGTTTTCCTTGGTCACTGTGCTAAAGCTTAAATGGGCAGGCACAGGCCAATGCGTACAGCACATGTAAGTCGGCCACAGCCGCTACCTCGAACGCACTAAGGTGTGGTAGAAAAAATCTACCACACTGAGGGGGTGGGGGGTGCAAAACAAGGGGAAAAATAAATGTGATAGTTACAAAGGTATAACCAAGAGTGAAAAAAGTGAGGACTAAAAAGTGGAAGAATAAATAAAATCCCCACCCTCTCCTTGTAAAAACACACTAGGGTTGTATACAAGTAAAAATCATATTTATTTATTTATTTATTTACAATTTGGACCGATTCGAACAGGTAGATTGTGAGAAATTTCAAAAAAACTACAAAAAAATTTTTTTCAAATGTGGTTTTTTTGGAATAACTTTTAAACGGCTTTACCACTAAGTTCCAAAAACTAATCAGCTCTTAACATCGAAAAACCACGTCGATCACCACCAAGCCGGTCAAAATCGGTTGATTCGTTCGTGAGTTATCGTTGACTAACAAAAACCGAAAAAAGTGTTTTTTCGAAATTACTTCGAAATTCCTAGTTCGATCAATTTAAACTTAAGGTAGTACTACCGGTTTTAGAATTTACGTTCAGAATTTAATGAAATTTGGCATATTGGTACTCTATAATATCATAATTAAGCAGTAAAATTTTTAGAAGCCTGGCGAGTCCTGAAAAAAAGATATTAATATTTACATATTTTTGCCTTTACCATTGATTCTTATGGAAAATCAAAGACTTTATTTTATTTCACAAAACTGGACGTTCAGATTCTTATAAAAATGAAGACAATGGGAAAAAATAACATCTAGAACATATTTAATAACAATCAGTATGGTTTCCGAGTTTATGAGAATATTTATTAATAAAAAACATTCAAAATTTATCTCTGTCTCTCTTTCTCCAACGTGATTTAGTATAGGGAAATACTACGTTAATCAAATAAGCTAAGGTTTGGAGATTTGACTCTTGTGGTAATGGTAGTACTACCTTAAGGGTTTTTTATAATGCTTCAAGAACTTCGTCGAATGCCGCCAACCGCGTGAAAATCGGTTCATTCATTCAAAAGTTATTGCGGTTTGAAAATTCAAAAAGAGTGTTTTATTAAACTTCTGTCAGACTTTTGAGCTCGGAGAGCTCAAAATGACACGAAAATTATATTTTTGAGCTCGAAGAGCTCAAAAACGTAATAAGTGCAATTTTGAGCGCTTAATAAGTATGGAATGAGTGGGAAGTTGATGGGGTGGCCTTTAGGGTCAACCATTTTCCTAACTTTTTTTTTTTTTTCTACTATTTATAATCTTTAATGAATGATGGTTTAAATAAGATATAATATCGTAAACTTTCCATTTAACAAGTTGGCGTATTATCTTTGACCTAGTCTGAACTGAATTTAAAATAAGCTCTCACCTTTCACCCATTTAACATCAGATAAATGTATTCTTTGCACAAGTCATCGATCGCGTACAAGGTAATTGAGACTACTGTACACTATCATAAATTTAATTTATATTATTTTAGCCAATGACATTCTTTATTATCCTCTTAACTAACAACGAAATTCTCCTTTTAATTTAATTAAAAAAAAAAAAAATACTTTTATCGTGATTAAATAATTGAATTTTTGTTTTTGTTCTGTTTGATTAAAGGTACGACTGGCGTAAACATGCTCAAGAAAACAATTATTCCGCAAATTCATCAATCTGTAGAGGCGTATCTCTCCGTGATTCGTCCCGAGTGCCGATAAAACCTACCCAGAATAAAATGGAACCACGAAATAACAATTATTTAAATCGAGCACAACGTACTAATTGTCGAAATAAAACAACTAAATTGACGATGGCCACCACTACAGAAAATAATGAAACGCTTACTACGGATTTTTATGTTTATGCTGACAAACATAAACGCGCCGAAAACAATTCAAGTGATCTCGAGGAATTGTGTCTATAATGATACAACAGTTATTTAATAAATATCATTAAATTCATATAATGAAAATAATAATAATAATAATAATATTAACAATCATATGTATATAATATTATGAAATACTTAAAAGTGTAAATATAATTGTAATGATAATAATATTTTTTAAGTAAAATAAGTTTAACTTGAGTAAACAGTGACAAGATAATTATCATTATAGTGAAATTACGTGGTTCATGTCATCTTATTGCGCCACATGAACTATATATGTATAATATATAGTTTAATGATAATAATTAAGTGTAAACGCCATATTTATGTATTCTAGTCAAACAGACAGACACAGATAGAGCAGAAAAAAAAAATTAATATATATATATTTTCACTGTAAATAGGTTACGTTATGATTTTCTGTGGCTAACTATTTTTAAATTAATAGAATAATTATTACTATTATTGTTAAAATTTTAAGATTTAATTAATAAAAATTGTTACTGTAAAAATATTAAATTTTTCTGTATTTGTACACTAATAAAAATTACTATAAACAAAAACTTATTTTAACTAATAGAAATATACCTGGCTATCTGATATACAAATTAGCTAATTAATCATAATTGTTTCGACGTTCAATATCGCGTATTTCTAAAATATCAGTTTTTAAATGAAGTTTCATTATTTCTCGACAAATATCCATCCGATGTTCCTCATTGTCGATACCAAGACGAAGTAGAATGTTCTCGTTTATTCTCAAGAGGACGCGTCCAGTAATGTCATGCTATAATTCATTGCTTATTTATATTCATTATTATAAGTTTATTTTTTTATATAATACTGAAATTGGCAAACAACTGACTTATTGTTGGTTTCATTAAAAAAAATAATTTAGTGCAAAAAGTAAAATTTCTATTAATAATTAGTTTGTTAAAAAATTTTCAGATGTCCGTTACTTTCAGTATTATTTTTTTCAGAGATGAATATTTAAAAAACTTACGTATAAAAATTTTTCATGATAAAGCTGATAATAATCGCTGCAGTGTCGTCTTAACCATTTTTGTACATCCAGTACATTCCACAAATAAACTGGTCTAGGTCTTGCTGTTTTATTCTGTAAAATAAAACAATTAATGTATAAATTTTATTATATTAAAAAAAGTAAGGTATAATAATAATAAGTAACAAGTAATATAATTGTTAACTACCTTGGATTTGTTACAGGGGCTTACAACCTCTTCTACCATGATGATTGTTTACGAAAATACTCTATTTATTATTTTTTTTACTTATTATCGATATCACTCATAGTAATAATATTAATGTCACGAGAAATTGTTAATGAAAATTCCTGACAAGTGTAACATTAAAATAAACGACTAAAGTAAACAACAATCTCACATGTCATCAAGTCAAATGAAAAAGGTAAACACGTTCAAGATGGCGTTAGTATCGAAAAAGAGAAAGAAAATTACATATTACACGCAACACACATTGCGTTGCGTCGCACTCACTGCAAGAAACGGTACTATCTTTGTTGCACTCATCATTATAAAACTATTGGAGTTTTATGTTTTTCTTTTAAACAAATGAGAATTTCGAAAAAAAAAACGCTCTGCTATGAAATAAATAATTAAAAAATCTATTATGTAACAGATGACATTAAAGTTAGCTATCACCTGACCACTTTTTAATTTTATTTAACAATTAATTAAATTAATTATAAAAAATTATTTAAAAAAAATTGCATTTTTTTTAATTTCTAGATGTCAATTTTTTTTTTCTCATTTTTTTTTGTCATAATTTATTTGTTAACAAAAATTCTAAAAATTATCAAATATCTGCTAAATTAATTTTCATACGTAACAGAGCGTTTTTTTTTCTTCTTTGTCTAGGAGAAAAATATAAAGCTGCAATCATAGGGACCGGCTGATATAATAACACACTCATGACATATCAACATATCTACAATAATAATAATAATAATGCTTAATTATAATAAAAAAAAAATTTTTAAATCATACAGGTGCATCCCGAAATTCCAAAAAATGCTACGAGCAACTGTCACGTACCGCTAGACTAATACACACTGAGATTTCTGCGACTTAAACAGCTATAAGAAATTCGAGTCAGTACTTTAATGCTTGCAACAGCTTAAAAAGACGAATTACAATACCTATTATTCGCCTACTTTAGATATTAGGATAATTAAATAAATAAAAGTAAAATATGATTAAAAAATTAAATAATCATTTAGGGCTAGTTTTTCAATCCAAGATAAAATTTTATCCAGGATAAAATGATCATTGTATATTTATATATATGAAACATATAGATATATTTTATCATTGGATAAAATTTTATCCTGGATTGAAAAACTGGCCCTTAATTTCTAAGCATTTATTTACAATATATTTCATGACACTGAAGTTAGCAGAAGTCTAAAAATTTTGGATTTTTTTTTTTTATTAAATTACAACCAAAAATAAATTTATAAAAAATTGCACTTATAGTTTTTCAAGTTTTTAACATATGATATTTTTTTTTTAATGGTTTAATTGAAATTTTTTCGATAAAAAATTTATAAAAATTTTGAAATGTCAGCTAACTTCATTTTCATTACATTTCTACAACTGTGCAATATATTTTTAAATTAAATATTTTTGGTTTCATTTCAGAAATAAACTACAGTGACATCTACCAATCTAATTATCACTGACATAAATTGTTTTTAATAATTTTTAATATTTAATTGTTATAAAAATTATTTATAAATAAATAATAGAAAAAAAAATCATTTATTTTCTGTCGCGTAATTATTTTTTTTTCTTACCAATATATAACAATATATTTATTTTAAATATACAAAATTTGATTAGAGTATACTTCCGGTCGGAATAGTTTGTGGAGCTTCCCTCTTTCCCTGACGAATCGTCTTAAAGGCAAAATGGTAAAAAGCTTCTTATTCTATTTATTATCAATAAATAATTATTTTAATATAATTAATAAAATATTAAGTGATATAAATAGCTTATTTAATTATTAGTGAATAAAATAAAATTATTTTCAAGTGAATTTTATACTTTGATAATTAATATTAATTGGTTACAAAATGACGTGTGTATTGACCATGTGGCTTTTTAATTATCAATAAATAAATAATTCTAATAATACTCATAAACAACAAAAATTTTATAACCAAGCGTCTAAATTTTTGATTGTAATTTTTTTAAATCAAGAAAATCACATTAATATTGATAAAATTTCAAGTTTGTGTTATTAACCTCAAAATACGAATTTGCGGTTTTTCTTGTCGCGTCTAAAAAATTATTCAAGGCCTAGGAAATAATCGTGATTGAAGATACAATAACATTTGTGAGAATAATTTACTAATTAATTAAAATTATTTTCAGACGTGCAAACGACGAAACGGAGGACGTGCTAAGCACGGACGTGGACATGTCAACCCAGTCCGTTGCACCAATTGTGCCCGATGTGTGCCTAAAGACAAGGCAATTAAGAAATTCGTAATCCGTAACATCGTGGAAGCTGCTGCTGTCCGGGACATAAACGATGCTAGTGTTTATGAATCTTATCAGCTTCCTAAACTTTACGCCAAATTGCACTACTGTGTATCTTGCGCAATCCATTCAAAGGTTGTGCGCAACAGATCCAAAGCTGATCGTCGTATTCGTACACCACCTCAACGTAACTTCCCCAGGGTAATTGTCAAAACTTTATTCTTATTGTTACTTTCCAAAACATTATCCAGAACTTTTTATTAACTATATTGTTTATTTAACTTATTTCAGGATAACATGCGTCAAGGTGCTCAACAAAACAGAAAGTGAATATCGATTAAATCATTTTGATTACATCTACAAAAAACAATAAAATACAAACAAAAAAATTAGAAACAGCGTTGTTATTTATTCTATTTATTATTTTTTTCCTAAAATTATTTTATTCCAGTAAACATTTATTAATTATTTTATTGAAAAATTTTACGTCTACAGCAATTACGATTACAAATTTTTTAACAATAAATTTGTATAAGGAAAATTAGTTAAAGTTTAAATGATTATTAAAATTGTTGTAATAATTGAAGAACATTATTTGCAATGATGAGAAAAATATGAGCATCAGTGAATATTAAATACAATTTAAAGTTATAGAAGCAGTGGTTGTGAATATCAAGTATTTAACTGTCGATGTGTAATTCATTTTTATTATTTATTTTTTTTTTCTTTATAGTAATATAAGCAAATACGTCGTGCAATATATTTTAATAAAATAATTACAATTATAAATAAGTTTATAAATTGAAATTTTCTAATGTAATTTATATATTTAAGAAGTATTATTAATTTCTTTCAATGATTTTACTTTAGTAATAGTAATAATTATAATAATATTAATAATGAATGAATTTACAGTAAGTGACAGTTGGTTGGCTCTAATAAATCTAATAATCATTTATTATTTGCTTCGTCCATGGCTTTCTTAAGAGTTTTTTCGAATATTTTTTTAGAATCACAGAAGCCTTGCTTTGTTTTGCCAAATGAATTTGGACCAGCTGATGTCGGTGTCTCGCGTCCAATATTCCTCATCCTCATTCTTGCTTCTGCTGGCATTTCTTCTGGTTCATCATCGTCGTCAGCATTGAACACAGAGGCTACGGTTGTCTTTGTAGGAGCTATTGGTTTAGCTGTTGGTTTCTGCAACAAGTCAAAAATTATTTTATTAATAATAATAATTATAAAACTTCAGGTCTTAAGATATAATACATAATAAGAATAAGGTGAAAAGTTATGCAACGAATAAATGTGATAATAATAAAGTTAACCGACATTTTTTAATTTTTTATTTTGCTTAATTTATTAAATTATAATTATAAAATATTTTTAAAAAATTGCACTTATAGTTTTTCAAGTTTTTTACGAATTAAATTTTTTTTTTATTTTTTTGTAATAATATTTTCAATAAAAAAATATTCTAAATATTTTTAGATTTCGGCTAACGTTATTTTCATATAAATGTGTTAAAATTTATTGATGGTCTTTTCACCTGATTTTTATTACGAATAATAATAATAATAATTATTATTATTATTATTAATAAAAAATAATAATTATAATAGTTTACCGTAGCAGGGCCTAGTTTTATTTGAATTCCTTTCTTAGCGTCAGTACTGGTGGACTTCTTGCTAAAACCAAAGGCTAGTTTTTGTTTCTGCTGCATACTGGTGTCCCTTGATGATTCATAGGAACTGGTGGTTTCACGATCAGCTCGATTTCTGTCATCAGAAGCTCGCCGTCTCAACGGAGATCTGTCTCGTTCTCGCCTGTAATTCCTGACATCCTCATCACTGCTGTCATCCGAACCATCGCGATCTCCTCTGTAGGAATTTGGCCCTGATAATTTCAAACACTGGCAAAGTTCAGATCAAGTTAAACAACGCTGATTTTATTACCAGAAAAAATTTTAAGCAACACGCCTATTAAACTTTTTCTTCATAATTTATTATTATTATTATTATTATTATTAATTATATAGTTATCAATATTTCACATTGATATTATGTTGCTCATTAAAAATACATTCTGTTACTCATTAATCAATATATTTTAATAGAAAATAAATTTATATTCATCAATTTTCATTTTGAATTAAAACTTTTGATTGATTAAGTCTTATATCAATAAATATTTAATAATATTAATACATTAAAACGATTTGAAAAAAAAAAAAAAATATGTCAATAAATGTAGTATTTAGTGTAATTATAAATGAAATAAATGAAACCTTTTCTGTAGTCCTCTGATTGATTTCGTCGCGACATATTCCTTGAACTGTTACTCCCAATATAATTATGTGTTAAAGTGACTATTACCGGTAATTGTACTTTATTTTAATCACAGTAATATGTAAAAGTAAACTAAACTTAATATAATTCAACAATACTTTACACCTCTGAACTCCAAAACTGGTACATACACAGTATAATAATTTTACTATATATATATATAAAATTAAACCTGGGAACAGCAAACTACTGAAGATGGCTATCTTGTTTATACTGTTAAGCTGTTTCTAATTAAAATATATACAAAAATTATAATAAATTATTATATTTTGATTTATTTATAAAAACATTATTTATCTTTTTAAAAGATAAAAAAGTGTTTGGTTTGAATATTTAACTTAAATAAATAAAAAATGTATGCCTATTTTTTTTTTAAAATAATAACAAAATTAAATTGGACATCTATTGTGTGTTAAATAAAAGCACATCAAATTATATTTTTTTTATCATCAATAGGCAATTATTTGATTTTTTTTATGCACCTATATATATATAAGTTTTCGGTAAGTTTCGCTTATACAGAAAGGATATAAGCTACTACGACGATCAGCGACGACAACGAGCCAACGAGCTATACATCGCGTATAGTGTGCGTACTAACGACAGGAAGTGAATTCTATGGCGCATCTTATGCGTTTTCCTCCAAGGAAAATGGCTACCAGCTGTCACTATCGGAAAGTAGTTTAACTTATAAAATAAATTTAGATTAATCAATAACCTACATTAATAAACTATATTTATTAATTGATGTGGCGCAATTAAATTGTAAACAATTTATGATTGAAGATATAATAATATCGGGTATATTATCTCTAATATAAATTGTTTTATGTGCCATGAAAATTCTCTACAACTCGACTGTTTACAGTTCTTACTTCGTGTGAATTTAATGAAGCTTTTTCGACTTACGATAAATTTAATGACTTGAAAAATAACATTTTTACTATCAATTTAAAGTACAAAATTATAAAATAAATAAGTTTCTATCCGTTTTCCATCACGAAGGGTTAATATTCAGTGAATTATTAAAATAAGTTTAATTTCTCGCTGAGTTATACAAAAAAAGGTATGACATTTTTTTTTTCTCAATCAAATGGATGCAATCAATACTCATGAATGATTCAAATGTTTTATATTGTTTATATAATTATATTTGTTTATTATTTATAGTTATTTATTTATTTCATTATCATTTTAATTAAAGAAAAAAATTTTAATTTTTAACTTTTTTTTCTTAACACTTAAAAAATCGATTTTATTAATTTTGTTGTGCTTTTTTATAGGAACAGTCATGGGTTCCAGTCAACAGTTTTCTCTTAGGTGGAACAATTACCTGAAGCATATAACTTGTGCTTTTGATACATTAAGGACTGATGAAGATTTAGTTGATGTAACACTAAGCTGCGAAGGCAAACGGATCCGAGCACACAAAATGTTACTGTCAGCATGTAGTACATATTTTCGTGATTTATTCAAGGTAAAATTACTTTGATATTTGTCGATATTATAGTTATATTTATCAGTAAATTTGAAAGAATTACTCTTTAATGTTATTTGAATTTTCCAAATTTCCAATAGTTTTTATTAAAGTATTAATGACTTAAATTTTATTACGACTAAATAATTTCGTGAAGAAATAATTTAAAAAGTAATAAATTCTCTATAAAATAAATGTTCTTCATTTGATCGCAGGAAAACCCGTGTCAACACCCAGTCATAATATTCAGAAATGTCAAATTTGACGACCTAGCAGCTTTAGTTGATTTTATGTATCAAGGAGAAGTTAATGTAGTACAAGAACAGTTAGCTAGTTTTCTTACGACAGCAGAATTATTAGCAGTTCAAGGACTTACTGACGGAACAGGAAAGGATAATGATAGTGTAACAGAGGTAAATTTTTAAACATTAATTATAATAAATATTTTTTGATACTTTATTTAATCGATTCTTTGAATTTAGCTAATACTAAATTATACAGTTGTTATTGTTTCATTTCTAATTTGATTACGAGAACATAATCGTGAATAGAAAAAAGAATTTACATGAACACAGAAAAAAAAATGTTCTTAAATCAAGTATATAATTTTTAAGAATTTCATCTTCTTGATTTAAGTAAAAAAAATTATTAAACTAAGAAATTTTTACTTGGTTTAAGTAAATTTTGCTCGATTCAATAATTGTTCGTCTTGATTCAAGACAATTACCCTCTTCAAAATTATTTTTTTTGGTTTAAGAATTTTCCTCTCGAATCAAGTTAATTTTTTTTTCAGTGAAGCTTTACTTGTCTGAATTTTGGATAACATTAATTTTTATTATTAGGAGGACGTGGAATTGCCCAACGAGCCAGAAGTACAGCTTCAAAATCCTGCAGGCAAACACATGACAAATAACAAAGGAGGTAAATCGCCATCATCACCAATGCAATTTCATTCAATTGAATTACAACCTGAAATACCACCTGCAAAGCGTCGAAAATATCGTGACAGTGGATTATCAAATGCTGATAAATCTAGTATTGGATCAAAAAAAGATTTAAATGATAAATTAAATGAAAATCAAGTAAATACACCGGGTTCTAATCCCGTGGAAATAATACCTCTAATGCCAAATTTAAAATTGGAAATGCCAGAGTATCTAGAGCAAGATGCCAGTAGTTGTAGTTACGAAGAACAAAATACTGGAGATGGTTCAGCAATTAAATTAGGTGACGATGTTTTATCTAATGCTGTAGATGAGGAGCACAAACCCGATATAAGTCAAACATTTTATTCAAGTCAGTCATCCGATATTCCTGATGCTAAACATGCAACAGCAACAGCAGCTGCAGATATAGGTAAATATCATTTTTTTTTTTTCATTTTTAATTGTTTATTTTCTATATTATCCATACCAATTTTATTAATGTTTGTTTTACTTTATTTCTTTTATAGGACACTTACTCTCGAAACCGAGTACATCGAGTGAGCGAATACCTCAAGAAGCAGCTCAAGGTAAGTGAAATAGAATCTTTTAATTACTTTTGTATAGTATGTATCGTTGCCTGCTGCTGTTGCCGAATTCTTTGCCTTTAATTTTGTCACTGCACAATCGAATTAATATTTAATTTGAGCGCGATAATATTCCTTCATCATGATTTGCTGATTATTATTTAGTTTTTTTATCAAATAGAAAAAAATTTTATTCTTTTTTTTTTTTTTTTTTTTTTTTTTTTTTTTTTTACATGAACATTTAATAGTTTTTTATAACAACAATGATGATGATAATAATAAAAATGAATATTTGGATATAAAATAATTCATAGTGGCAAATGGCGTTGCAGAAGGCAGTCGTTTTATATTCACTAGGTGTATGACACTATAAATATTGCGTTGAGAAAAATATTAACGTTATGGCATTGTCACTTTCAAGCGTGATAACTTATTGTTAAATAATCCTAAACGTAGTAAATATTCCCTGAAAATAAAATACTTAACAAATTCTAAAGGGAAACTTTGAATAAAAACAAACTAATGGTAACGATCAATAATTTATAGTGGAGGGTCCTTTTGGTTAATAATATGACAGTAATAGAATTTTAATCAAAATGTATAATATGGCGCAGTAGCCTGTGCAGCTTTACATTACTCATACACATACAAAAAAAAAGTATTTAAATCAATATTTTTTTTTGTACAAAACTTGGGCAAATATTAGAGGCCATACTAGCGACTATACTACAAAACCTTTTTTTCTTCCTGTATTAAATTTCTAAACATTAAAATTGACAACTATACGTCAACATTTTTCAATTTTAATAATTACATATCTATAATATCTTTATGATTATTTACATGATTAAAAAATAAAAAAGAAAATAGTATCAAGAATGTTAATTATTTTAATTGAAAAATGTTAATCCAATTAGAGTAATGAATGAGCGAATGTGGTGGATATATTAAGGTGATTGTTTTTTTTTTTTTCTGATATTGAAACGGAAATCTTTTTTCTCTTTATTGACATTGATTGTTGAAACGCATTTTAGTACTCAACGTGCATGTATAATTTATTTGTTAATTTAATTTTTTTATTTTCTTTTAATTGATTTTATTTTTATTTATTTACTTCCTTTAAATATATAATAAAATCCTCAGTAAATTGGCACTTTCGGGTTTAGGTGGTTCTCATAAAGGCTAGGAAGCGTTGCCAAGTGCTATTGTGTAGCCGACAATCATCAACATTCCTTTAAAAACTTAACTAAACTTACTTCTTTTGATTTATTTATTTATTTTCCCATATCTACTAACAATTTTATTTAATATTGAAAACTTTTTTTCTGTTGAATATTTTTTATTAAAAATGATTCATTTACTATTTTTGTCTATCATGGAAAAAGTATTTCCTGTTATTTTTTATGATATATAGATAATATTTATAAATATAAAAACAATTTTTTAAAAACTCATTTGGTAATAGCGGTGACGGTATCGCGACCTAGGCATGTATCAGCATTTTCTGTTCTTTAAAACAAAACAAAAATTCCTACGCCATGGTACTTTGTTTCAAGTATTCAAGTGGAGTTTGATATAGAACAATTTAAAAACAAAATATTAACAATAATAACCATAGGTAAGTAGAGTTATAAAAATTTAGCAATGATTAAATGGGAGCATGACTTACCTATAGTTTAGTTGATTAATAAGCGACTGATACACGATAAAAAAAGCCAAACTGTAAACCGAAGCTCATCACTAATAAACTGAATACCAGAAATTGATAAAATAATATTTTTTAAACCATCATTTAGCGACAAATTAATTTTATAATATCATGAATAAAATTTGTAAACATAGAAACGAAAAAAAAAAAAAAACATTTTTTGAACACGAAAAACATAAACACAAATGACAATGAAACTTGATTTATTTTTTATGGTTTTTGATCAATGAAACATAAGAAAAGTGAACATTGATCGCGATTAATATGGATAAAGTTATTAAATAAATAATAAAATTTGATGTTATACATTAAATGTATGACTGGTAAATGAAGATGAAAATTTACTAATTAAAAATTGAAAATAAAAATAAATAATAATAGGCGAATACACTGAACAAGCACCTGGCAATGCTAAATATTGTGGGTATTGGTCGCTGATAATCTAAATTGGCTTACGGCTAAGGGTTGGTGCTGGGATTGGTCATAAAATACTACTTCACATGTTACTAATGGTTGCTGCATGTGCACAAATAATAAAATATCACTAACTGAAGATTTGGCCAATTTTCTTCAGGAGGAATTACATACATATCTGGTCAACCTCATAGCCTCAGCAAAGCAAACGGTCATGGAAAAGTATGTATACACTGTAAACGGCGAGGAGTACTTACATCACGTGGAAAGCTCAAACAGACACGCTTCAAATGTTGGGCCTGTAATGCCTGCTTGTGCCGCTGGCCATGTTTTACGGAATTTCATGAACTCCGAGCTATTCCTCATATTCCTCCCCCATAGCATCAACCTGCCCAGAGGCCGTATTTGTAAATTTTATAAATATATACATATATATCTATAAATACATATTTATATATAACTAATACCCACAAAATGCTTAGTTGACATTATATAATGTCACGCGTTGCTCATGGGGTTACTTAATAAATGATATCTGCTATGCAGATGACACTGAACATACGTGAACGTACTTCAATCTACACCTCAAAGGTGTCAAAAAGAAAGCATGTTATTATTATTCTTTGTTTTTATATTATTTTTGTTAAAAAAATTCGTTTATTTTACTTTCCACAATGCACTGTCAATATGTACAAATTATTAAGACTTGACACATTTTTTTTTATTTTTTATTATTACTTTTAATTAAGAAGTTTGAAAGCGTTAACGGATTATTATTATTATTATTATTATTATTATTATTATTATTATTATTATTTAAATATTTGTTTATAGTTTTAATTTTGCACGAGATTAATTGTAAATGTTAAATTTATGCATTTGAGTAAATATTATCGTTATCACTCCAAACGTAATATAAAATTAAGAAAGTTAACAAAGCGAACCGATTTATGTGGGAAAACAAAAATTCAAATGGGAATTTTTAAAGAACAAATGGTTTTTGTTACTCACGTATAAAGAAATATGATTTTTAAAATATTAATCAACAATCTAAACTCTATTATTTAAATTTATTTTCAAATTATTTAATTATTGTCTGAAATTGCCCATATATTACTTTGAAATAATCAAATTAATATACAGGCATCGTATACTTATAAAATTAATAGAACTTTTTTTTTACACTACCACAATTTTTTTTCGAAAAATTTATTTTACAATTCAATTTTATAGAAAAATGAAGCCAATGCAAACTTGTAATAGGAAACTTTCTTAAAAATTTACTCTATTGACATTTTGTGTTAAAATTGCTCATTCAATTCCGTAATACTATTTTATTCTGAAGAGATTAGGTAAAGTTCTTATTTCGATTTACTTTCTTAATTAAAAATTATACTTTTTAATGAAACGACTGTCACTTTTGATTATAAATGAATGAAAATTATTTATTCAAAAATAAGATAAAAAAATTATTATTTTTAAGTAAAAGCATCGTTAACTGGGGACATATTAATTTGCGATATATTTATCAATGTTGATTAAACAATACTGAATTAAAATCTTTATTTTAATATTTTTTTTCTACTTATTTGCATAAGAAACATTTTTTTCTTTTAAAAATGTTGCAAGATAATTTTACTTCAATAAAACTTGAAATACATGAAGTTTTTTGAGTTGTATGATAAGTTTATAGAAAAAAAAAAAAAAAAAAAAAAAAAATTAAATCTTTTTATACGTATTGTTATTTTGAAAAACTGCACCTTAATCTCAATGCAGTTTTAGTATACCGCTGGATATTATTTAATTTCGATCATTCCATAAATGTGATACTAATCAAAAGTGTATTTAATTTTATTAATTGGAACACTTTTTTTTTTCTTTCATAAATTATGAGAATTATTAAAAAAAAAAAAAAAAATAGAAATTTTTCTTTTTTGGATTGTAGATTCAGGGTGAAATATTAGAAGAAACCGAATAATTTCTTATATGGATTATAATTTTACGTCATATTATTCGAACCAATATTCAAATAGTAAATTAGATTACTGTAATATACGCTATTAGCCATTCAAACATTCAAAATCATTAATGCATCATAATAATGTTCATTCAGGAAAAACTAAGTGCCCTGTTTGTTCGCAAATGTTCAGTTGTCGTTACTAAATGATTAATCATTTTAAAACCAAACATTCAAGCAATAAGTAAACAGATATATACTCTCTATTTCTTACACAATTCCTTAAGTATTCACAACGAACAAATTTTAGAAATATGGTCTCAATATCTTCTACAAATAATTTTAATCATGCGTTGTTGGATAAAATTTGTAAAAAATTGATATTATTTTACGTTGTATAATGAATTAGTGCCATAAAAAATGTTAAATGCTCTGATAATTTTTTGCCTTTTATTATTCATTAATTATAAAATGATTTTGTTAGTATTAAATTCAAATTAATTATACCGAAGTAGGACTTGACTGATTTTTGGCTGTAAAAAATCGAAAAATTAACTTATTCAAATTTTTTGTTTTTCATTACTTTCAAAAGAAAATAAAAAAGCAAAATTCAAAAATTTTTCAAAAATAAAAAAAAAATATTTAGATCGGGATATCATAATACTTTTTTCTAATTCATTCAATTTTTCATGCTTATTAAGAAAAAAATATTGACACTGAAAATTGATTTGTGAAAATTTTCCATTAAAAATAAAACGATTCTTTTTTCTTCTTTCATTTCCAAGTTACAAAAAAAAGTTAAACTTGAAACTATAAATTTTTCTACAAAAATTCATAATATTCGACACGGAGAAAAGTAAAATATAAGAAATTTGTCGATAACTCAATTTTTAGATTTTTGAGAGCAATTTAGCATAATTATCCAAGTTGAATCAAAACGAAGTATACAAATTCGACAATTAATAATTTATTGAAAAAAGCTACAGGAATTTAAAAAAAAAAAACGTATTCTGAATAGTCTGCATGAAAAATTTATGTATTTTATAAGTCAATGAAACCTGAAATAGAAAAATGAAATAGGTGATGAATTTCTAAGTAATATTTTTGTTCGGTAGTTATAAATTAATGATGATTCGGTGAAATTAAAAAAAAGTGGTGTTATTTCTGTTTATTTATAGACCCACGAAGAAATAATGGCAGTGGTAAAATTGGTCCCGATGCTCCTGAATTACATTCATCACCTAATGATAATTTAGATGAACCTTCAAAAACCGGAATATTTCGTTGTAGAATTTGCCCAAAAACATTCAAACATCCTATATCATTAGCTTTGCATAAAAATGTACATGCCGGACAAACCAAATGTCCTTTTTGCCAACATGTTTTTAGTCGAAGTTATAATATGAGAAAACACATACTTTATAAACATAAATATACATTATAAATACCAATTGGTACAAAAATTAAAATTATCGAAACTTCCAATTTTCGCACAAATTTTTCATGTGATGAATCGTTTAATAAAAATTACATGAAATTATTAACCTTTTAATGAGTTTTTAATTAAACAAGAAAAATATTAAATTTTATTAGAGTTAACTGTTGAATTTATTTTCAACACTGAAATTTTATGTCCACTATTTAGCAATAAAATTAACTGTTTCGTTGAATTGGGGATTTATTACTTGAAAAAACATTTTTTTATTCTCATAAAATCAATCATGAAAAGGTTAATTTTTTTTTAGCATTTTAAATTAATATCAATTATTTTTTTCTAAATGCAAATTTATTTATTCAATTTGTTTTTATTTATTATTGAAAAAAGCGAATATTATGACTGACACACTATTTACACTGACGAAATTTACAGTTTACTTCACTTTAAACAGCAATAATCAAAACACACGGTTTCACGCATTTGAACTTGGAAAATTAATGTAGATATATAATTTGTTATACTCAAGAAAAATTTAATCTATGTCCAGTACAATGTAATTTATTCAAACTATAAAATATAAATATTTTCTTTAGTGTAGTTGTTTAGTTCAAGTCAAATTATTAAATTTACTATCAAATCGATTTTTTTTTTTTTTTTTTTTTTTTTTTTTTCAAATTTATAGCTATAAATTATCATTCCATAAATTAAACTTAAATTATACATATTTATTTTGATTATGTATAACAATGTAATGACAGTAATCTACAGAAAAATACTCAATTAAAAAAAATAAAAAATAAATAATTAAAATAACTTTGTGATATATTATACATTTATTTATCAAGTTGCATTAAATTTTTGCTTTGAGCTTCGTTCTCTTCTTTTCAATAATTTCAAATACAGCGCTTGTTATATTAAACTAAAAAAAATTAAACACAGCGCGGTTGTGGAAATTAATAATTTATAAAATAGGCTTATTTTAGTTTACAAAAAAGTAGTAAATAAATATATTTTATTTTCTGCAATACACTATATTATTTATTATTATTTTTTTAATTTTTTAAATTAAAAAATGGCTATTTCTGGTTGATGGGTTATTTAGTGATGGTTCTGGGAAATACTGACAACAGTGGATGAATACATGATTCATAATATTATTAAACAAAGTAACGTTATTTGTCTTCTGTTTATCAGTAAAAACGAATAGTGTTGAGCTTGAGAAAAAAAAATTTTACATAAAATAAACAAAAATAAAAAAAAAAAAAAATTAAGAAGCTGTGTGTATGGGAAACACTTTGGATTGTGTGCGCAGAAGCAGAAACAAATACCAAAAGTGATCATCTGGGATCCAACTCCATCTTATATAATTCACCAAGGAAACCACATCAAATGAAAGGTCGTCGCAAGGATGGTCGATGGGTTTGCAATGTTTGTGGAAAACATTACTCTAGAAGTGATTCCCTTGCTCACCATCGTAGTATTCATAGAGGAGATACTGTCTGTCCAATCTGTCGTGCTGTCTTCACGAGGAAATATACCATGCGATGTCACTTGGTAAACATTCATGGGGTTCAGTGACTGAAGAAATATCATTTTACAAATAAAATATAAATCATTTATACTCATTTTTTAAATAACAATGTATTTTCCACTTGTTATTATGTGGAATCGACAAATTTTCGCTCAATAATACTTAGAAGCAAAATTTTTATCTTCCACCTATTTTTAGTATTTAAAGCTGAAAATAATTTTTCATTTAATTTTGTTGCAAATAGGCATTATGATGATAATAACCAATAATGATTATTTTTTTATGATATTTCAACGTAAAACATTTCAAAAATTGTTGTTATATATAAATTAACTAAATATCATTATAGGCGAAACAAAATTTACTTAATAACTTACTTAATTAACTATGTCAAAATTGCTTTATTTTGTTTTTGTTTTTGTTTTTTATTTTTTATTATTTAAATATAATATTTACATAAATGTACATATAAATAGATGAAATTTTCATCTGTCTACCTTGAAGTAAAAAATGGTTTAACTCTCACTTCATCTGTACTTATAGTTTAAATCCTTGCATTATATATATATATATATTATTTTTTTTTTTTTTTTTTTCAATTAATTATTATTTTTATTATTTTGCATTATTATTTATTCACATGTAACAAATGCCAGTATTGATTTAAAAAATAATTTTTTTTTTATTTATAATAATTTGTGAAGTGTGCTGTTTCTATAATTTTTTTGTACTTTTTTGAAGAGTGTTTTTTCTTTTTTTTAAATACGCTTGATTTATTTATAGTTAAACTGTTTATTTTGCTCATATAAATATAATTTATAGAAATTAAAAACCATGCCAGATATACAATTAAGTTTAACTTTTAACAAAAAAAAAAAAAAAAATGATTATACGTAAGAATAAATTGATCTATATTAAAAAAGGTGCTAAAAATAATTTACGTACTGTAACTTCGTGATGTATTTATAAATAAAATTAGTTTATTAGAGACAGTTAACTGATTTTTCATTATGAAATTAAAAAATAAATAATTTTAATTATATTATGTGTAAAAAATAAAAAAGTAAATCAGTTTTTAATATTCAATATTATCAAGTAAATCTCATAAGTAAAATTAGATTTTTCATAAAAGTTTTGATTAATTTTATTTTTATTATTTTTATCTGTTATTAAAGGAATACATGATTGTCGGTTCACTATTTGATTTAATATTGTAAAGTTAAAATAAGTGTTTATGCGAGAGTGCGGGTAGGTATTGCGTAATTCAAATAATTTTTTTATTTGGAAAAGAATTTGTTTTAGTTAACTAACGTGACATAAAATGAATTTCCGTAATGAAGTTTGCAGTTTTTATGCATGAAAATATTTAAAAGAGAAAAAAAAACCAAACAATCAATAATTTGGTACGTATGTGCATTATCATATAAATCAAAATCATAATCCATAACAATAAGAGTTAACGCTGAATTTATTTAGCATGGTTGCTAAATGAATGAATGTATTGAAACTTTTTAAGTTATTTTAATTTTTTTAATTCACTTATTATTTTGTTTTTAATTTTATTTAAGTATAAAGAGTATGAATGAATGTATGAGAGAGAATTTTTTTGACAAATCAAAGTCCGAGTTAAAAATTAGGAAAAAAAAAGTCCGTTGTAATACGTAAAAAATGTTAACTTTATTAGTATGAAATCTATTTATTTGATTTAGATTCACGTACAGTGGTCATCGAACAACCGTCGCATTCTTGCAAACTCTGCGGTAAATCATTTTGGAATCGAGACTCTATGTATAAACACATGAACATGCATAAGGGAACAACTCAATGTCCTGTTTGCCACAAAGTGCTGAGTCGTACAACGCATATGAAACGTCACTTAAAAAATCGCCATGGATGGTTAGGATTTGGAACGGTTACTGATACAACCACCGTTCGCAATGCAACCCAATTACCCACTGTAACATCAGCAGCTATTGCTCAACAGAATGCCAATACGGCGAATACTGAAACAAATGCAACATTTACTACAATACGAATAAGAGAGAGTAGTGTTGAAAGAATTACCTCTAGTCCTATTCCTTAGTGTGGATTATTATCATCATCAATGAAGACAACACTATTGTGTTAATAACGTTGCCTATATCTTCTTCTTCTTCTTCTTCTTCTTCTTTATCACACTAGTCATTCGTACACATAATTTCATGTGTATGTATGTGTATTTATGTATATGTGTAATATATCATACACTTAAACATAATAACACTATTAACACATTTTTAATTACACACATATAAAATTATTATTAATTTTATTAACTCAATGATTGATTGATTGCTTGTTTATTATAATTATTATTATTATCATTATTTTATAATCAATGATATAAGGAGGAAAAAAGCCAATTTTATCTAGTCACTTTACTTCTCAGTACTTAAAGTATAAAGAGGAATGTGCATTTTTTTTTTAAACATAAGCGAGGCTTTACTTCCTAGTCCCCGAACTACTGCCAAAGTTCATTTATTCAAAGATTACATATTATTCTTTTTGTTTCATTTCTTTTTCTTATTTTAGTTATTTTGTTATTCAATGAATAACTTTTTTTTTTTTTTTTTTTTTTATTTTTTTTTTTTAATTTTATTATACCAAACATTATGTGGTACTATTCATTTTATTGTTGTGTTGTTTTATTTTTAATGCAATATTATTTTTAGCAATACCATAGTTATCCTTTTCTCTTTTAGTACTTGAAATAACAAAAAAGGAAAAAAAAATAACCCACCAATTTTTGTTAGTATAAGATTTAAAAAAATATATATTATTTATATTCAATAACTATTACAATTATTAAATAACTTGCCAAATTTAATCATTAAGTTTAATTTAGTTTTAATATTACTATTTAGAGTAGAAAAATCATGCAAATGTAGGCAAAGATTAAAACCAAATAGTTTTTTTTTTTTTTTTTGTTTAAAAAAACAATATTATACGAATATTATGATTTATTAATAAGATATATTATGAAAAGAGGCTATTTAATTATACTGCATCCCAAAGATTTTATTTCATAGTGTGCAATTAAAGCAACTAAAGAAGTGACAACTAAATAGTTTTTAACTTAGATGTTTTCTATTTTCAATTATTATTATTATGCATTGCAGTATGATGATATGATTATTTTCATTTATATTAATATAAATGAATGTTTGTTTTATTTTTACACACATTTTAGTATCTTATGGATTTATTGAAAATAAAGTTAACTATTAAATGATATAGCACATTCCTCCAAAAAGAGAGAAAAAAAAACAAATACAAATAAGTGTAAGGTTGCCAAGAAAATTTAATATCTACAAGATATGTCTTTAGTTAATTATTTTTATTTAAATTTATATATAAATATATAATTCAAACATATATCGTATAGCATAATCCCATGTTTGACTTATTAATAGGCAATTAATGTAAGTGAAGAAATGTGTGAATAAAGTTCTAAAATGTCAACTGATAAACATTCTTGAATATTCTTCCTTGGCAAAACTATTTAATTCTTTTAATTTTTCAGCTAGTTTTCTAACAAAATTTTCATATTTTCATCTCCATATACCTGTTTATTTATTCAGTGAATTAGAATACTGACAGAAGAACTAACTTGATTTAAAAAAATAATCTTTAGTGAAAAAGAAGATTTTAAAGAGAACTACTATAACTGAATATTTGAAAGAAAAATAATTTTTCAAAAAAGATATTTTTTTTTAATCAAATAGTTCTTCTTTAAGTGAAGTAGGGTAAAAGGACCATTTTTTGGCCACTTAATATTTTAGTTAATTCGTAAAGAATTTAACTATTCAAGTTGTAATTATTATAGAATTTATACGAATTGAATTCATAAAGTCTTGCGCTTATAGAAATATTTATACAATAATTTGAAAATAATGTGGCCAAAAACGGTACACTGGCCACAAATGGTACTTCTACCCTATATAATTAATACAACACAAATTAAAAAGTTACTCGAAAAAAATTTTCCGTATGCTGTATCGCATGAATTCGTAATCATTGTCAATTGGCACAGCTCTGCACGAGACAAACAATTATCACACTAGGAATTAAATGAATTTATTTAAATTTTTGGCTGTATCAGCTAATATGCTAAAATGAAAAATTAATGAATAAATCAATTTTTGATAATAAAACTAAATAATAATAATATAAAAAACACAAGTATTATCGTGATGAAAAAGATACAAGGTACCAGGTCGCACAGGCTTCTCGTAGATTTTTATATTGAGCTAATTTTGATGATTAAATGAGTTATGAATAAAAATTTTCTAATTGGGGATGGTTTATTAATTGATTCCCGTTTCTTTTAATTATTTAATTTATTGAATTAATTATAAATAATTTAATTAAATGTGATATTATGAGGAACCGGGAAGGTCACGAGGATATTAATGTGTTGCAGGGGGGGTGGGACGAAAACGGAAGCATGTTGGCGATACAACTGGTCAAGTGGTGATGCAGGGTCCAGGGCGTTTTTCTTGCAGTCTCTGTGGAAGTGTTTACAAGCACCTAGCTTCGCTGACCCAGCACCTCGAAGTGCATCGCAACCAGACAACCTGCATCCTATGTCACACCACTCTCAGTCGTAGAACCGACCTGCGTCGTCATATGAGATTAAAACATAATATGCAATGGCAAAAGACGATCCAGAGGCATCGAAGTCCTAGAAAAGGAGTCAATTCTTAATTTCGTACTTTCTTTCATTGTTTATCTTATTTTCTTTTTAATTTCCTCCTATATTATACATAAACACAATTCATAAAGTTATCAATTACGATAAATATTCATATAAAAATACATTTATTATTTAAATTATTTAATATAGATTATAATAATGTATGCTAATTAAACTTAATATTTTTGTGACTTGTTACGTACTATAAATACTATTTTAAAGTTTATTGCGTGCTATTGATTATTTTAATTTTTTCTTCTCAAATAATAAATATTTTAAATAATTTACTGTAATTATTAATTATATATACAAAAAAATATATGTATATATATATATATATTTAAAAGTATATAATATTTTCCGCCAACAAAGCTAACTATAACGTTAAAAAAAATAGCACATCAATTTGTCAAGATACGTATTATAGATATAGATTAATTCATTTTGAATATAATTAATTATTTAATCAATCAGTCACTGTACATACAAATATGGATATAATAAAAAAAAAAAATCGATAAATAATTTGAAAATTATTCATCTCTTAATCTCATAGTCCGTCCATAAACCTCAAGAATACAAGATAGATTGAACAAAAATAATGAACTCTTAATCACATTTGCTTTAGCAACCTTTAATAATGCGCTATTCATTTTTATATGACTTTTATTATAAATCGACTGTGATTAATTATTATTTTTTCAACAATTAAACTATATTTCATAAAAAAAAAAAAAATGCACAAGTGTAATTAAAGTATATGTTAACTATTTAGATTATTTCATTTTTTTTTAGCTATTAGTTGATAAATAATATTAAAATCTAAATAAAATACAATTAAATTCTGAAGATAAAATATAATAATGAAATATAACTTCAAGGTCATAAATTATATATATGGCTTATATCGATAATAATTTTTTCGAAGATGAAGGGCATTTATCGTATTTTTGTTGCTTCTAGTATCAATTATCGATTATTTTCAAATGCCTTATAAAAATCAATATACTATTGTAAGAATTTATCATAATTTAATATTTATGTTAGAATAAAGAATTATGACTCATTAATGTACGTTAGTTATACTTTAAGTAAATAAATACAAATAAAATTTTCTCATATTATTCCTAACAAGTAATTTAAAAAAATTTAAGTACCACTTTCTAGAAAATTAAGTTACTTCTCTTTGATTTATCTCTTTAATAAATTTGTCGACTTGAAATTTACATTTTTTGTTTTTAAAATATCGTTTTTGTTACTTTAAAATAACGTAAAATGATTATTATTAAGTCCATCTTAATAAGTCGATAAATATGATAGCTTCCTTTATGAAATAATTGATTAAGCATGCACTTATATATCAAGGAAATGTTAGCGACAAAACTTCAAAATCGAATTTTAAAAGTTTAATAGAACATGTTTATTATTAATTAAATTTGGTTTAAACAGAAATAATAACAAGATCATTACAAAATACAAATATAATTAAATTATTTTATTTTTTGTATTCATTAATCATTAAGCAAATACAAATATGAATTATCGCTTGTACTTATTATTAGTGATAATAATTTATCAACGAATTTATAAGTGCTTATTTTTTCACCTGTATTATCTCAACACCAATCATCTTATTTAAATTATTGATTATTCGTAAGTATTCTAGCAATAGTTTTAGTATGTAAACAAATAAAAAAAAAAAAAGGATTTTACTTATTAAACTAAAAACCACCTCTCAATGCCAATACTAAATGAAGCACGGAGCCACCTTGGACCTTGTAATCTTGGGCTGTTTTTTCATCATTCCTAAAGTAAAAATATAATTTTTAGAAAAAAAAAATTAATTTTTTGATAATACTTAGATTAGATTTTTAGACAATACTTACATTTGTTTACCAGAGAAAATTAACCTTTGTTGTTGTGGTGGTATACCCTCTTTTTCCTCAACCCTTTCTTTTATTCTCTCGACCTTATCCGTTGGTTCAATATCAATTTCGATCTGTACAAAAATGTATTAATGAGAAAAAGTTGTAAACAAAAAATTGTTATTTTTTTTTTTTTATTTATATTGAAAACTAGCAGTAAGTATTTATATCATGTACTAAATTTGTTTTTTATTAACGAATAATAATTAGCGATTAAGCAAATTATTTGTAGATTATAAGCAAATTTATGCATGTCTGTGTGAATGCAAGGCCCTGAAATTCACACAGCGCGGATTTATTAGAACTTTTTTATGTACTAACAGTCACTTCTGTAGGTTATACCGGCTAAACATAATACATGAATTTTGTGTTGTAAAATTACCTCTTTACCAGTCAGCGTCTGGAACAAACAAAAATTATAATTAGTATTTTAAATTTAATTATTACTACTTGTTATATCAATGATCAAGAATATTTTAAAGCTTATTATCTTAAAATCATTCAGTCCGCCATAGTTTTTTCTAAACGATAAGTTTTGCGGTAAAAAAAAAATAAATAACTGACATCTTTAAAAAAATAAATGTTTTAAAGTATACAAAAATAATAAATACCTTTACTTTGATCAACATTTTTGATAAGTTTATTGATAAACTATAAAAGGTACTAATTTAGTCACTACCGCGAGTCCGTCAGAATAAATTCAGTTATGCAGAATAATTATCAAAATTGTCATCTTATAGTATATCGGCACAAACTATACCAAATAATGAAACAACAAAGAATCACATGTGCTTATTCGCTGTGAGGTTTTTGAGTATCAGCGCCTCTAGTGGTCGACCCATTACCGAAATATTTGAAGTGATAATTGAAATAATCAAAATTAAACTTATTAATTAACAATGAACATTAATTTAGCAGATATTTTATAATTTTGAGAATTTTTTTAACAAATAAATTATGTTAAAGAAAATGAAAAAAAAAAAAAAAAATTGACATTTAGAAAATTAAAAAAAATAAAAAATCCAATTTTTTAGAAATAATTTTTCGGAGCAAATTTATTTAATAAAAAAAATTATCAAGCGACTGCTAACTTTAGGTCCAATTTTTCAATCCAGGATAAAAGTATGACACTGAAGTTAGCAGACGTCTAAAAATTTTTGATTTTGTTTTTTTAATTAAATTACAACTAAAAAGATATTTATAAAAAATTGCACTTATAGTTTTTTAAGTTTTTAACATATGATATTTTTTTTTTAATTGTTTAATTGAAATTTTTTCGATAAAAAATAAATAAAAATTTTCAATTGTCAGCTAACTTCATTTTCATATAAGAGTATTATTACTATGGCCAGTATATTTTTATATATATGAAATATATAGATATATTTTATCATTGGATAAAATTTTATTCTGGATTGAAAAACTGGCCCTTAATGTCGTTAATTAACATGCTAAAATTTTTAAGTGATGGATAAGTAGGTAAGAAACTAAATGATTTTTATATTTACAATTAGCAGAAACAGGAATTTTAATAATTAAAATCTTTAAGGAGGTCCTTTCGCCATCAATGTTAAATAAAAAATATTAGATCATGCATAAAATTAATTTTTATCTAATAGTTAAAGTCCTTATGTATCTACTAGTGAAGTTTAATTTATACTTCACCGAGCAAATTTTTGAAAAAAAAAAATTTCTAAAAATGTTAGTATTTTTTCCGAGTCTTACGAGAAAGTCAGACCTTAACAACTTTCTCGAATTATGGCATTAACCACCGATTAGATGGGGTAAAAAAAAAACTCAAAATAAGGTTTTCCAAATATTCACGTTTCATTTTTTGCAATAAAATATAAAGGTTGCCGTGGAATTTATAGAGAAATTATAATTATAAAATCACAGAAAATTTTGGAGTAACCTACATTTAAATGGCGTCAGAACATTTGGCAACGTTGTGTAGCGCGCGAGCTTCAGACCATTCAATAAATTCAAACTAAACTTTAACGCGCTTATGTTTTTCATACATACTATTAGTTAATTTATTGTTAACAAATTTTCATAATTCATAATTGAAAAATAAAACAATAATTGAAAAATACTATAGCATTCCTGCCATGAGATATTAGAATGTTATGATTTTGTGACTAAACATTTTTAATTAATTTATTTATTTACATTGACTGCAAAAGTTAAGCATGGTTAAAGTTATATTGTGCAAATAAAAATGTAAACAACCGAAATAAAGCGTTGCCAAATCACGGACTGGTTACTAACAGCTGATTTACAAGAGTCAAATTAATTTTTGTATTTAACTATTTTTTTTTTTTTAATTTTCAAAATTTCAACGATTAATGCCTCATATACTATTTATTTTTTAATTTTAGGAATTTTTATGGGTTTTTTTATTTTAATTTATCGAATATTGACTACTACAGTTGTTGTGACTCAACTGGAGTGAAAGGACTTCCTTAATTATCAATAATTCATCTGTGTGTCCCTCTACTTTCTCCAATTCACAAACAACTACTTTGATCGGTAGATATGCGCTCTATGTTACCTTTTTAATTCCTCACAATAATAATAATAATAATAATAAGTCACATCTGTCTCATCTAAAAATTCAATTCAACACGTGTGTAGTAAAACAAGTGAAAAAGTTTGGTTATATTTTGAATAATAGTGAACATATTTAAAAAAAAATAAATAATACAAAAATGGATGTAGTAAACAATGCTGATTCTGATAAACAAGGATTTAAACGTAAAAAGAAACGTTCAGCAAATCAAATGGCAAAAAAATTAATACGAAGAAGCGCTAAAACTTTTAATAATGATCTTGAACAGGATTCATATCAATATTTGATTAGAATATTAGAAGTTTTGCGGACAGATTTTCAAACAATGGATGATAAATTAACATTTGTAAATAATGTTTATGATGAAATGGTAGGTCAAGAAATAGAATACTCAAAAAATCAAACTGGCTCTCGAGTTATAGATTCATTGATGGATTATGCTAGTTTTGAGGTAATCAAACGATTTTCAGATGCATTTACTCCATCCTTACGTTTACTTTGTTGTGACAGGTTTGCCAGTCATGTTCTAGAAAAAATAATCCGTGTATGTGTTGATCGCGGTAACAGAAATGAAGATGATTCCGAAGAATTAAAAGTAAAAAAAGAAGAAGCTGTTGAAATTGCTCCTGATCAAGTTGATGAGTATAATCAAATAGCGTTGAAATTATGCAAATTCACCATTAATAACTTTGAAGAATTTGTCTATTTGGATTATGCTAATCATGTATTGAGAACTGCTATTGAATGTCTTGGAGGTTTATTCAATAAAATTGATGATAAAAATAATAATAACAATAGGTATCAACCGCGAAAAATAGTTAATCAAGATTATACAGAGTTACTAAAAGTTTCTGGGAGTAGACTAATTAACTGGCCACAATTTCGTGAATTTGGTAAAGACAATTTAACAAGTGGACTTCTACAGGCGTTATTGTGTAGTATACAAGACGTTGATTCTAAATTAAACTCCAAAATTATTGAAAAAATAACTAGTGATTGTTTCACTGCTAATACTGATGATTCATTATCAGATATATTTGATAAAGAATACTCATTACGTTTATTGGAAACGTGCTTAATGGTTGCTACTCCAAAAAGATTCAAGAAGCTGTATACAAAATATTTTCAAGGTAACTTGAAGAAATTATCATTAGAAAAAGATACCAATTATTGTGTACAAAAATTGTTGAATTATTGTGTAACAAAAGAAGAGTTTGAAAAAATTTTTGATGAAATATCAGAATACATTTTAGAAATAATAAATAAAGGATTCATGGGAGTATTATCAAGCCTGGCTAACGCATGTCTACGATTACAATCTAAACAAGGACCTTTTGTTAATGCAATTTGTAAATCATTGGGATGTGATGAGCCAGCAGAACGACAAAAACAAATCGTACCATTGATTAGTCGGCTTATTACTTATGATCAGTCGACTGCTGCTAAAAAGAACGACAGATATAAAAATATTTCTCTCAATCTTCATGGGAGTTTAATAATTCAAGCTATACTCCAATTCAATAAACCGATTAAAATTGTTAATTCATTGCTTGAAATGAATGGAGATGAACTCGCGGATTTATTTAGTGACCCTAAAGGAAGTCGGATTCTTGATGTTTTTATGGATAGTAAATTTATCGGAGAAAAAAGTAGGGAAAAATTGGCTAAATCAATGAAGAATCATTGGAGTCAATTGGCATTAGGCATTCATGGATCACGGAGTCTTGATAAATTTTGGGAGCATTCAAAACAAAATCAACGATTCGTTATTATGGATGAACTCAGCAACGCGGGACAAGATCTTAAAGCATCAAAAACTGGACGTATTATTTATAATAAACTTGATGTTGCGGTATATTCACGTGATAAAAATCTTTGGATAGAGGCACAAGGAAAAGATGATAAAGCTAAAGCATTATTTGCAAATATTATATCAAAGACAGATGATAAATTATAATTTTATCATAAATATTGTGTTTATTATGTTTGTATAACTCTTTTTGCAAATAAATTGTGTGGTTAATTTTGATTAAAAAATGTATTTTCCCCTACTTTATTATGATTATTATTATTATTATTATTTGAGAATTAAAAATAAATTTGAGTATTACAATTGAATATCCAAAAATTTTTATCTAAGGTAAAAGACCCAGTTATTGACACTGGCCCAGTTGTTTGACACTTGCAATTTTATTCTAATTAAAAAAATCAATTATCTTAAAATTTATAGATCAAAAATTATATTTATTAATTTATCAGAGTTAATTTGTTTTTTTTTTTTTTTTTTAAATTAAATAATTGCAAGTGTCAATAACTAGGCCAGTGTCAATAACTGGATCTTTTACCTTACGCAAAAAAAAATATAATGTAACATTATGATACTGAAGTTAGCTGTCAGCTGTCAATTTTAAAAATTTTTCTAACAAATCAATTATATTAAAAAAATGCTTCTAAAAATTTTCACTTGTAATTTTTATTAATTTTAACATCCCAAGCGTCACATAAAAAACTGTTGACTTTTTGGTAAATTTTATTTAACAAGAAGTCAAAAATTAATAATTGTCAACTTAAATTCAACAAAATATTTCCAAAAAAATTTTTGTGCCGCTTGAGATGTGGAATTTTTTAATTTAATTTTTTTATAATAATTTTATTGCCTTAAAATTCTAAAAAAAATTGTAATGTCTGTCAACTTCAGTGTCATGTAACATTATAATTTTTTTTTACATTGTACCTATTATAAAAAATTTTAACGTATAGATATTCTAGCGCCAGAACTCATTTACAAGAAAATAATTAATGCTTAAGAATTAATTAATTAATAAATTTAAAAAGTTCATGTCATCTAGTGCTGTCCTCTTACGCTCAAACGAACAACAAACTTTACTGAACTTGGCATAACCAGCAAAAATTATAATTTATTACTCCTCCATATTATCGTATTAATTTTTATCGTAAAGTACAATAAGATTACAATTTATGGTTTATCAATTACTTATAAAATATCTACGACAATAACTAGTGATATTTATGAACCAAATTTTAATTTTATTCCGTAGCCCTCATTAATATTTTAATTGATAAATAAAAATGAAATCGTTGAGGATAAGTTTGTGTTTCATTGTCGTAATATGTGCTTTGAGCATAGAATTTGTTAAAGCTGAAGACGACGAAGTTACGCTATCTAAATTTGGATCCAAAACTGGCCCTACAATTAAATTTTCTTATTGGTAAATTATGATAATTATTCTCTTATTAAGTACTAAGTATATTTTGTTTGAAAAATATTTTGAACAGTCACGCAAGCATATTTTTTTGATACATTAGTATTGCTAGAGTAGTTAATGTGTAGTTAATTTTTATAAAATAAAAAATAAATAATTAATATTAAATTATTATCTAGTTATTCTTGTGGTTATAAACGAGTATTCGAAGAATATGTTGGTATTTTGAGACAAAAATATCCGGAGCTTCATATCCATGGAGAGAATTATGATCCACCAGGGTATAATATGTTTATTGCGAAATTTTTGGTAAGTTTATTATTATTTTTGAACAACAAGAATGCTACAATAAGTTATGTTTATTGATTTTATTTATGTATAATCATAAACGTTTTATATTTTAGGGATTTGCTAAAATATTAGTCATTTTATTAATAATCAGTGGCATCAACATTGCCCAATGGTTGGGACAACCTCCACTATTCTGGTGGGATTGGTGTATTAATAATAAATTGTATGCTTGTATCATGATATTTTTCGTTTGCAATGCAATTGAAGGCCAACTAATATCTTCAGGAGCGTTTGAAATTCATTTCAATGGTAAGATATTTTATAAATATTTTATAATATATTTTATAAAACTGACAGCTATCAATTTTTTAAATTCTCATAACAAATTAATTACAATACTAAAAGTACTTCTAAAAATTTTCACTTATAATTTTCTTTAATTTTTACATGTGGAATTTTTTTATTAAATTTTTTTTCATAACAATTTAATTGTTATAAAATTCTAAAAAAATTTTTAATGTCTATCAAAACTTCAATGTTATCATTTTTTTGCTTGCTCAAATTAGTCATTTATCTATAAAATTTTAATGGCCGTATTAAAATATTTTATAACATATTTATGTTTTAATATATAAATTTATATTTTATAAATATTAAATAACAGTAATTTAAATTGATTACAAAAAATTCTATATGTTGGTGAAATTGTCACTATAAGTTGGAGTATGTTTTTTCTTAAATTAAGTTAGTATTTAAATTTTTTCATTACTTCATTAACTAAATTGCAATAAGATGATTCGAAATTATGATATTTGTGAAAAAAAAAAATTGATATTAAATTAAAAAACTTAAATTGTGTTCTATTTCAGATGTTCCAGTTTGGTCGAAACTTGTTACGGGTAGAGTACCGCAACCTCCAGAATTATTCCAAATAATCGATAATCATCTTCAAATGTTATTCCCTGAAAAAGATTCACTTGACATGACTTTTACGAAATAATTTTTTTTTTTTTCGTTTACAAAAATTAAAATGAAAATACTGAGTATAATAATGAATATTAATTAATCATAATTTATAAACAGAAAAAAATGTGATTGCATAATTTTAAAGATATAAGTTTATAATAATACCGATTTGTCATAAAGTCATAATGAATGAATGATCATATACACTGTTATTTGTATTTCATCAATTGTTAACACTAAAAATTGAGTGGAATTATTAATTACTTAAAAGAGTAGTAATAATAATAATGTTGTAATTAATACATATTGCCAGATGAATTATAAATAAGTTGTAATGTACAATTGTATATAATAGTTATTCGCATTTAAAAACTTGAAAGTGAATTTAATTTATCACAAAAATAAAATATAGACAGAAAATTTCATTATAAAATATGTAAATATTTACAATAATCTAATTACAGTAATATCATTTTCATATTGAATACAATACTAACGAATTTATTGATAAATAGACGTTATGTAAATGTAATGACATTCCTAGTATTTGAAAATTGTTTACAAATGTATTTCAGATTTCATTATTAATAAACAATTTATAAATTATAACATCTCTTCATTTTTATTTTATCTTATATATTCCTATATTTAAAAATTTATTTCCGCTAGAGAGCGTAAAAATAGCTTCTTGAACACATGTTACTGAAACGTTAAAAAGTGAGGTTTTTTTAGGCAGGATCTCGGTAAGTAAACAATGACATTTTAATTAATTTAAAATCTCTATCAATCTTTAAAAAATCATTGTTTATTACTCCGACAAATATTCAACTTATAGTCAATTTTGTAATTTTCAAAAATTCATGTGCAAGTTGCCAGAGACCTTTTCAAATTTATAACCATGATAATCATGAGAATGCAAATTTTAGAAATTTTCTTTAAGTAAATAAAAAATAAGTAAGAAAGTTAAAAAAAAAAAAATATTATTTTTTACTTTACAATTCTTTTTTATTATTTATTGGTATCAAATAATATTTTGATTTTTCCAGAAAAATAAACGATGGAACATCGATGTGATTGTGGTGATTCACACAGTGAAACTGATCTTGGAGTTCAATATAATTTATATCAGAAAATAGATTTTGAAAACGTTGAATGTTTAAATGAGTATCAAGAGAATACTGGTAAATCGGTTTTTAAACCTTGGGAAGAACGATTAAATCGCGATAAGGTATTAATTAATTAATTAATCAATTATTTAAATATTATTATTTAAACGCATACATTTACTGAATAGAAATATGTTTCAAGGATTGTATAATGATATTTATTTAATGGAAAAATGTTTTATTAATTTTTTAATCAAATGATTCAAATTAAGCATGGTGTTATGAAAAATTTATTTACTTTACCATCAGATTCAATATGAAAAATTTTATTGAGTACCACTTAAGCTAGTTGTTTTGCATGACTCATGATGCGAAGCATCAGAGGGTGTTTTACGATCGAAAAATTTTTTTTGCCTCATTTCGGCAACTATTTTTATTATTATAGTCTTGTTAGTTCACAAAATCAATATATTTTGCATACTAGTGTCAAGATAATTTGATGGAGATTAATTTAACACTTTTAAAAAATTGATTTGATTCAATAGAAACGGAAAATAACATCAAAACAGGTCAAAAAATTTTCCTGTCTGTCATGTATGAAACTCTGAAAACACTGTAACTTTTAAAAAATACATCAATTGAGTTGAATTTTTTTTTTTTAATTCTTTGAAAGAATTGTAGGTCACCGAATGCGAATGACTAGGTAATTCAATGTCGTGTATGTACAATTAATAAAATAAAACAAAAACCAGAAAACTGTATATCTATATATATATATATATATATATATTGTGTACATTTATCTCATTAGAACCGCTTGCACATCATCAGGCTATTTTAGCTGTTTTATTTATGTATTTTTTTTCACATTTTTTATTTTATTAATATTTCATAATTAAATGAGCATTATTAGTCGTGCACTTTTGGATTTACAAAAGTTGTCATAATTTTTAATATATGAAACATATTTCTTCCCAAAAATTTGTATCTTTTTTTCAATAAGCTAAAAGACCCAGTTATTGACACCTGCAATTTTATTTTAATTAAAAAAAAAAAAACAAATCAACTCCAATAAATTAATAAATATAATTTTTGAATGATAAATTTTAAGATAATTGATTTCTTAAGAACATTTTATTTTTTCAATTAGAATAAAATTGCAAGTGTCAAACAACTAGGCTAGTGTCCATAACTGGGTCTTTTACCTTAAGTTACTAATAATTATATGATAATTTGTAATTTGCACTAATTAATTTATTTATTTCTATAAAGTACGTCGAAAGCGATGCAGATGACGAACTCCTCTTCAATATTCCGTAAGTTTCCTTGAAAAGCACTATATCCATTAAAAAATAATAAAAATTTTTTATTGAATTAATTAGATTCACTGGAAACATTAAGCTCAAAGGTTTAATTGTCATGGGTGGCCCAGATGATTCTAGTCCTTCAACAGTTAAATTGTAATTATTTTTATTTTTCAATTAAGTAAAATTGTTATCATAAATATTTGTATACATAATTCTATATTTAATTCAGACAATTAATATTTTTTTTTGACTGTGTATAGGTTCAAAAATAAACCACACATGACCTTTGATGATGTTGAGTTGGAGCCAGACCAGACTTTTGAACTGTGCAAAGATGACTATGGAGTTCACGAGTACCCAATCAGGTATTTTTACCTTGTTTTAAATTAATTAATCGCTAATTTGATCTCAAGGTGGTAATAGACTTAAATCACAAGTTAGTCGATTTTCAATGATATGTTCAACTCAGTATACTGATTATTAATCTCTATCCGAGTTAAAAAATCGCTGCCTGTGTAAATATTTTCTTTGTTGTAAAAGTTTGTATACTTAAAATAAAGTTTATTTACATAATATCAATTTTATAGCATTACAAATTTAAATGTAATCAAACGGCGGCACGTGTAAAATACATAGTAGTAAAAATTTCGCAAGTAACTATAAATAACCATATTTATTTCGGGATTAGAATATTCTTAATAATTTGTGACAAAAATAAAAAATGAATGCAGCAATATTTTTATATTGTCTTATTTGATAAATAATTTTAAAATATAAAAATTATAAATGACAGGGTTGTTAAATTTTCATCGGTTCATCATTTAACTCTTCATTTCTCTGGGAATGGTGGTGCTGAAAGAACAAGAATTGATTACATTGGTTTCAAAGGTGAATGGACACCAAGACATCAACACGGTGTAACTATTTGCTGTTATGAATCACGACCGCAGATTAGTGATCATGTTACCGATTCTAATGTTGTTAACAAAGAAATTCAATGATCACAATTACTTTAATTGATACAACCATAATTGAAAGTTATTTTTTGATTATCATTACAAATTAATAATAAGCAAAGTTAATAATAATTTTGAATAAAGAAAAATTTTATACTAATAAAATAATAATATTTTTTTTTCTTTAATAAAAATCTTTCATTCATAAGTTTTATTTGCGTAAAAAATTATCTATTATTATCGCGAACGTCTTTACATTGAAAAGTACTAAATTTATTCAACGAGATCGTTCATTACCCTCTGCTTGTGAACATCGTTCACATTTTATTTTCGGACAATGGAATTGGAAAATCCAATGAGAACAAAGACTTTATTTATTTCTTTATCACTAAGACCAGTAAAATTTTTGAGTTAAATTTGAATTTGAAAAAAAAATTTCATTTAAATAAGTTTTGCGCAATTTTATGAATAAATATTTTATTTTCATTGATATTTATTTTCTTATTGATAAAATTGCTTTCTTAAAGTGTTATTGTTTATGCATAACATTAAGAATATCGTCACAAGTAGTAAATAATACAAAGTAAATTATTATTTTATTAATATATTCTCATACTAGAAACAGTCATCATATTACTGTGAAAATATTCATGATTACTCAGAAGATTTGCTTGAGTAAATAAAGATCGCTCGGTTAAAATCTCATACTCGCGTGCCGGCTCAGCTTGCGAACACTCACTAATCAACCAGCCGTTTATTATTAGTAAAAGTTTAACTTCTAATAAGCTGTGATTTTGTTTACAATCAAAAAATAATTTATTATATCATTTGAAATAATTATAATCAGTTTTTTAAAATAATTTTATCTTGTATCAAGTCAATTTGTTTTGAGGAATAAAAATAAAAGTATAGTATTATGCGGAATAGATTACTAATAATAATCTGAGGAATGGATTACTAAAGTGTATCATAAAGTATTTCAAAGAGTGCAGTTGATTAATTGGATCAAAGGATTTATATGTAAGTAATAAAATACAATTTTTTATATAATTCACTTAAACTACTGATTGATAACTGTTTTTTTTTTTTTTTTATTAATATGAATATTTTTAATAACAATAATGACTTACAGGTGATGATAAATTGATTGAAGTATGAAAAATTTATTATTTTTTTTTATTTTCGATAAAATATCACAACAATTGATATAAAAAAAAAAACATTTAGTGAATGTAAAGATTGTCAGAAGAAGAAAAGAAAAAAAATTTACCACGATCTTTAACATTTCTTAGGTTAAAAATCAATTGAGAGCAACTTTTTTGTTATTGAATAGTCGTTAAATGGATGTAAAATTAAATTTAATCTTTAAAGAGCAAAGCACAAAAATCAATTGGATATAATTAAAGTGGGAATAAATATAAATCATGCCGGTAGTGTTGTAAGCGCCTTGTTTACTAGATTAACAATATCTGGATCATATGATGCAACATTTAAATGCCCTTATGATAATTACTTAATGAAAATTTTAAATAACTTTAATAACAAGGGTAATTAATTTTTTTGATATAAATAATTATACTTAGCGTATATCAATTGATATAAACCTTTATGTCATAGCAGGGGCCAAAGCTTTATCTTCAAGATTAAATGCATTTAAATTTAATAACACACTTCGAGAAAACTAAAAGCAACAAAAAATGATTTAAGCTGATCAAAGATCATTTATTAAAAAGAAAAGTGCAACAGTAATTTAGGTCATCGAACTTCATGTATCACGTCATCAAGTAAACGTGTGAAAGTTTATAATATAATGTAATCATTATCATAAAAGACTTTGTGACTTTTAGTTGCATATTCTAATAGATTAATATTCTAACTAATATTAGTTATCGTGTTTCAAAGTAAAAATTTATTTTTTAGTCGTTCCAAAGAATATAGAAAATTTATAAGAGAAATAAAACAATGATTATCATTGTGTAAATAATTAAGCTGAAATAATTAAAACATCAAAGCAAAGTCTTGAGTAAATTTGATTATTCCAAAGATTAAATTCAAATCTATATGATAAATATTATTTAAACCTCTGTATTCTTTTTACACTGCTTAACGTAAAGTATAATGATTTATTTCAATTACAATTAGTTTTACTACATGACATTTTATATATATCTCCCATTCTATTTTTTGTTGAGCAATACACTTTATATCTATTTATCACATACCAATTAAGCGTAACGCAAGATATATATATATATTTTTTTAATTCTCAATTCTACGGTTAATTAAAAATATTAATTTAATTTACCAAACTATTAAACAAATTATTATTACTTTTTTTTTTTTTTTTTTAAATGTACTGACACTAAGTACAGAAAAATGAAATTTACTAATTATTATTACCATTGTTTTTTTTTAGATACTTGTTACATATAAACAAAAGTTGAGACATTAATAAAAAGTCGTTTAAATTTTTATCAAAGAAGATTATAAAGAAAACGTTCAATGTTAATTTATTTATTTATTTAATTTTTGGTATATTGTAAATCAGTATAAAAGAAGCGTTGAATCATTGCAAGATATCATTATACTTGTATAAAATTACAACCACATGTATATTTTTTTTATTGTTTATACAAAAACGATGCAAAGCTATTAATAATGGTCAAACATGAAATATATGATTAAGAGAAGAAGAATAATGATGGCGATTAATTGCTAGCAAGTCCTACGGAAAATGGATAAAATTATTTTCTAGTACAAAGGATTGTTGTGTATGACTAATTTTATCAAACTTGATTTCCTATTTTTTTTTTTATTATTATTATCATTATTTCAGTTATAATGATTATTACATTACCACCACCATCGAAGAAAAAGCTGTCGAAGCAATACGTTGAGTTACACATTACACTAACCGTTAGTTCAGTTGCCAGCTCGACTATTGTTTAGTCAACTTGATCGTTAAATAAGCATCTTAATCTTTTTAATTATCAAATTATAAACGGATATCATTGATATTGTGTATTAATACTCTATTAACAGATTAATACCGGCTAATAAACTATCTTTATCAAATCTGGTGATAAGAAATGAAGAAAGAAAAATTATTTTAATACTTCAGTACTGTAACTTCAAACACTGAAGTTGTCAATTTATCATTGCTTATCTATAATGTTGATAACAAAAAAATAATAATTCAAGATTTTTAAATCAGAACTCTCAAATATAAATGATCGTGAACAATACTGACAATATAACTTAAAAATAATTACTATTATCTTAGTTTATAACGATGAGCCGATTTATATAGTTCTACATACAAAAAATTATTTATTTTTTTAAAGTTACCATCTTTTATTTTTAAATAGAATTTAGTGTGATTTTTCGATTGCAACGTCAAGTTCAAGTGAAAAACAGTCATGACACATGTACCTGAAGATCCAGAAAAATTGAAGAAGAAAAAAAAGAAGAAAGATGGTGAAAATGACCAGACTGAAGAAGCGGTGGATTTTTTTGAGGATGAAACAACACCACCACCACCTGATGGGGGATGGGGTTGGGCTGTTGTCTTTGCTTCTTTTATGATTCATGTTGTCAGTAAGTTAACTAATATAAGGTAAAAGACCCCATTAGTGGCACTTTTTCTTTCAATGAAAAAATGTTCTACTTGGAATAAAAATTAAAAATTTTTTGATCTAAAAGTCTTCAAGATTAGAAATAATATATTCATTATTGAAATTAATGATTTCATTAATTGAATAAGTACCAAAATCAAATAAAGTGTCAGTAATGGGGTCTTTTACCCTATTGCTTATTTTTATTTTATTTTATTTTTTACTTTGTTTTGTAAATTGGTTCTACTTGTTATTATTTACATAATTATTTATGAGTATGATTGTAGCAGACATTCGATAATTTTTTAAAAATTTATTTATGAAAAAGATAATAATATAAAAAAAAAAATTAGAAATTTTTTAGATTTTTTTTATTATCATTAGAATTTAATCTTTTTTTCTTCTATTAGTTCTTTTAACAAATAATTACACGATCCAATTAAATTTATACGGAAATTGTTAATTTCAAGTTCCCTTATAAGTTCAAAGGATGCGGCATTGACACGAATTCTTATAAATTATGGTTATGACTAAATGGTTATAAAAAGATTTAGATTAAATTTTCTACAACGATTTATTTACTAATTTCTTAACAACTTTAATTAATAATGGTGCTAAAAAATTGATTAAAATTTTTTAAAGATATATTTTTTTATAATCATACTTACAAATAAAAGTTTTATAAGTATATAAGATAATAAGTTAACGTTTCTGTTTCCGTTTCTTATTTACAACAACCTTTGACTTCTTCATGCCATGTTTAACACTAAATAATGTTACAAATTTAATGTTAACTGAAAATTATGTCGATAATTGATGATACTGAAATTAGCAGACATTTGACAATTTTTAGAATTTTTATAACACATCAATTATTAAAAAAAAAATATTTTTCAATAATTCGCACTTATAATTTTTTATAATTTTTACATGTCTTTTTTTTGCTAAATTTTATTCATTTTAATTTAACTGTTATAAAAATCTAAAAAAATGTTAGGTGTCTGTTAAATTTACTATCATAACAACTGTATCAAATATCGTCGATAGTTTTTCTTACGTTTATTATATAAATATTTTAACTAACAGACCTTGTACTCAGTTTTAATAATATAAATAATTTTTTATTAACAAATTTCTTTTTTAATTTTTCAGCGGACGGAGTAACTTATTCTTTTGGAGTATTTTATATTGAATTTCTCTATTACTTCAAAGAAGGAAAGGGCGAAACAGCATGGATTGCATCTATACTTGTTGGAATAACTTTATGTTCCGGTAAGTAAATTTTTAAATTTAATTATCATATTCCACAATATTTTTGACATTTATTTATTTACATATTTAATATATAACAGGCCCGATATCGAGTGCTTTTGTCAACAAATACGGTTGCCGAGCTGTAACAATAGCAGGTGCAATTCTTTCAAGCATTTGCTTACTTCTAAGTGTATGGGCACCAAATGTCATAACTCTTTACTTCACAATAGGCATAGGAACAGGTAAAATTTATTTATTTCAAACATTAAATCAATGATAGATAAATAAAAATTTTTTTTTAATATTAAAAAAGTATATCTTCTAATTGTCACTATTCATAATTGCTCTCTTAAGTACGGAACACATTTTTTAAAAAGGTAAAGTTTTTCTTGCCGCCTTCATTTATATATTTATAAGTATCTTCTCATTAATAAACCTTTTTCCAATAAAAAATGCATAATTAATTATATTTTTTTCACAGGACTAGGATTCGGTTTAATTTACCTTCCAGCGATTGTCTGTGTAACAATTTATTTTGAAAAACTACGATCTCTTGCTACGGGTATAGCAGTATGCGGTTCTGGAATAGGAACACTAATATTTGCTCCATTTATTGAATATCTTATTAGAGAATTTGGATGGAGAGGTGCAATGTTAATTTTATCGGCGCTGGTTCTTAATTGTATTATACTTGGAGTCTTATTCCGACCAGTTGAGCCTCCACGACGGCCTAAAAATATACCACTACAGGTATGATTACATATTTATTTTACAATAATACACGGAAAAAAGAAAACTCGAAAAATTACATTATATAATGTAACGTGGCGCTTCGCGATGAAAACTGGAAAAATTACAGTTTCAGATTGTAATTATTACAGATTTTACAAGAATTACATTGTAGAATGTAATATTTACATTGAAAGCTCTGAAAATTAACATTCAAAGTTTTAATTTAAAAAAATGTTATTTCGAACTGTAATTTTTCTAGTTTTGATTACGACGGGACCGCTTTTATTTACATTTTATACTGTAATTATTTTTTCGGTATACTCACCTGATCAACTTAAGTTACAATCAATAAAATAATTATTTATGCTAGGAAATAAAATCATCGTTAGCAAATCTCAAAGTTCCCGGTTCCAACGGAACTTCAAATGGCTTAAATAGACCGCATAGTACACAAAATATTAGTACAACATATCATTTCATTGCGGATAATAATGATAATACAAAATATTTAAGAAAAATAACAATGAGTCAACCTGTTTTAACCAAAGGAATTTCTCATCAAGGAAATTTCAATCATTCACACCATGGTAGTGAGATAAATGCTAAATCTCTCGGCAGTGGTATGATGAATAAACGTGATATATTTTATCAAGGCAGCGTTGAAAATATTCGTAAGCGTTCGTAAGTATTTATTTTATATGGTCTTTTAAAATTTATGTTATACTCTAAAAATTATTTAAAAATAAAAAAAAATATTTTTATAGTGCATCTGTTGGACATCATGAGGTTCGTCCAACAATACGTAATTCTGTAATGAGTTTACCAAATGCAACAGGATATAAACCAAGTGAAACAACGGAATGCGCTCCTTACATGGATAAATCTTGTGGAATTTTACAACAAATGCTGGAATTATCATTATTGAAAGATCCAGTGTTTCTTATCTTCGTTATATCAAATTTCTGCACAAGTATAGGTTTCAATATTCCTTATGTCTATATAATCGTAAGTTATTTATTTATTACAATTTTTACAAAAAAAAAAAAAAAAAAAAAAAAAAAAAAAACTATTAATATTATTTATAAATTAATTTTTTCTATTTTATAATTTAAATAAATTATTTACAGACCCAAGCTGAATCACGATCAATCCCACGAGATACTGCAAGTTATTTACTGGCAATAATTGGTATTGCCAATACTGTCGGTCGTATTGTTCTTGGCTATGTCTCAGATAAGCCATGGATTAATCGTCTTTTAGTTTACAATCTGTGCTTGACTATTTGTGGTTTTGGTAAATATACTTTATTTTTTTAATATTTTGTTACTATCTTGGTCGTAATCTAAATTTGGTTCATTATTTTTTTACAGCGACAGTATTAAGTATCTACTGCAATTCTTTTGTATCATTTGCAGTTTATACTAGTGTTTTTGGATTTACTGTTGGAGCATATGTAGGACTTACGTCTGTAATTTTAGTTGATTTATTAGGTTTAGAACGCCTTACAAATGCATTCGGTTTAGTTTTATTGTTTCAAGGAATTGCATCACTCTTAGGACCACCTATAGCAGGTAAATTACCAGAAATAAAAATATTTTTTCTTTTTTAAAAATGATATTAAAATAGTTATATTTATTTTTTCTATCTAGGGTGGCTTTATGATGCATTAGGTTCTTATGATCCTGGATTTTTTGTTGGTGGTGCTATGATTGCTATTAGCGGTCTAATATTATTTTTTATACCTCCTATGCAACGTTGTATAAAAAACAAAGAAGAAAAATTTGTAATGATTAGTGTCACAGCGTAGTTATTGTTATTATTGTTGATGACAGTTAGATAATTTATAATTTATTATTTTTTAATAATACCAAATATAAAAAATAATTATTTTTATAATTATATTATAGTTTTTTTTCTCTCAATAAGTAGTATTTTTTTTAATACTCAATAATGACTTGACTAATTTAATCAATCAGTTAATTTAAGAAAAGTAACCAAAATAAACGATTAAACTCCAGATTATATTACGTAAAACGTTCCAAACTATATTTACTTTTAGTTTAAAGTTAAGTAAACTTTGTTATGCATTTTTAATTGTGTAATATATATTTAAAGGTGAAGCTTTCAAAAACTTTTTTATCAAACTAAATATTGGAGTAGCGATCCCAAATTATTTAAGTTATATATATATATATATATATATGTTAAAATCTATAGGTTTTTGCTCTACTTTTTTTTTTTGTAACTAAAGTGTTAAAAATGTTGACTAAATGTATAAGAAGCTAATCAATACATGTAGTAAAAAAAAAAGTATTATTTAGAAACAAAAAATTAATTCACGCTTATACTTATGGCGGTAAATCTTTGTACAAAAACCGCAGATTCTTACAAGTTTTAATTAACTAATACGGCAGGTGTACTTGTCTAGCAATCTTACTGTAGACAATCAGTAGTCTTTTAATAATTGTAATAAAATAATTGTATAAATAAATTGCATCGATAGATAAATTGTTACGTATGAAAGATATATTTTGTAAAGATAATGTTATCTTATAATTTCTGATATTCTATTATTAAAATTTTTGTAGAATTTCCATAGAAATTTGGATTATAAATTAATAAATGGAGTAATAAATACAATGAAATTTAATGAATTGTATTTTTTAGATGTAATTAATTAATACTCTTTTCAATTATTTTAAAATGTACAATACTTATTTTATCAAATTTAAAGGTACATTTTTTATGAACTATAAAATAAAATGAATAAGAAAAATGTTTATGAATTTAAAACGAAATAGTAGAATTTTTTATTTCATATTTTCAAAAGTTTTATGAATAAAGAGTACTTCTGGGTTGTTAAAAAGAAAAAAAAGACTTAAATTTTTTTTAGAATAAGATATTTAAGTATGTTTTAAAATTCCCGCCAAGTAATAAAATCATCAAAACTGTTTTTATTGGTAGTTATATCATTGAAAACATTCCTTTACCAAGCGACTAGAATTCTCTAGATGAATTGACAGAATAATGGTTACTTGAAGCAACTTTTACATACATTCCCTTATTTTTCTCATGAATTTGTAATAAAAAAATGTAATTTTTACTATTATTTTATTAATTTGCTAGTAATTTTGTTTTGTTATTGTACATGAGTGTTGAAAAAAATATAACCTAAGTGCAAAGTCATATCATATTTATTGTTTATTTTTAATTAATTTGTGGATTCAAGTAACGTGTATATAAAAAAAAAAAAAATTATTTTAATTAGCATTAAAAGTTTATTTATTATAAATATTATTGTAAAATTAATAATTACAAAAATAATAGTTGATCGTTTGATTAACGTATTTCATCTAATTTTAATCAATAATGCATCACCATATTACCTATGGTTTACAAATGTAATAAAAAAAAATAAGTAAATGGCATTATATTTATTTTAACAACAAAAATTGTAGTGAAAAAAAAGAATGCATTATTAATTATAAATATTATGTGACTAGTGTTGTTAATAAAACAAAAATGAACATAAGTTGACTAGTTATTGACGCCATTTTATTATTATAACGGAACAAACGATGACGCGACATGTTGCGAAATATTATTAATTAGTAAATTAATAAATATACATATTATGTACTATTATTATTTAAATAAATAAATTTGTTTATTATAAAGTTTCCTGGAAATGAAAATACATATTTATATTCAAAAATTTAATATTGAGTGTTAGTATAGCAAACGCATACTTTTATGCGTAAATTATTAAATTAAGTGCATTGTGGGTAGAAATAGGAATGTGAAATATAAATAACAGAAAGTTATTATTAAATATTATTATTCTCAACTATATAATATAAAAAAAAAAGTGTTATATTTATAAATAAAAATAAATAAATATTTATGATAAATAATAAATGTATTATTATTGAGATAATAAAAAACACGTCGCAAGGACAAAACTAAATGCATTGTGGGTAGACACCGGAATGGTGAAACAGGAATTATTTTTTGATTGGTCTTCAACACAAGCGTGTCTTCAATGTTAATGTTTACCGTTGTCTAAAACAACCTCGTGTGTGCTTTAACAACGATTAAACAAACTTTATAAATAATATTTATTTAAATATTATATTTAAGCTGATAATATTAAATTCGTATAGTATAAATTATCAGCACCATCACATTATATTCGTAAGTAATTAATGTGTGTGTTTATTAAATTTCCTATGACATACATAATACTGCTGGGTATATAGCAATTTTTCGCATCAATGGTGGACTAAAAAGGGTTAAATAATAACAATAAAATATCGTAAAAAAATAAATATATAAATAAAATTTGTTTATTAAACAGGAGTTTGATTATTAAGTTAATGGTAAATGGAATTTTGGCGGCAGACTGTGATGACGTAGATGGATGTAAAATAATCGGGTGGAGGTGGGGGCGGAAAGGAGAGGAGAGTATCTATCAGAGTAGTCGAGTGGTTTAGCTATAGTGTTTACAACGAGAAGCAGATGCTATAGTAAAAGGTATCAGGAAAAGGAGAAAAGGAAGAGGAACAGTGGAACCGAACCAGTCGGTACGTCGCGGAAGAATGCGTAGCCATTGTTGGTGCTGCAATCATTAGTTTATAGATCCTCATAACAGTTGATTCGGAAATATTATTATTTACTTGTTAAATAGTTGCTGGACTCTCGGTTTGATTTTATATAAAATGACTTATCACAAATAAACAGTGGGTAATTATAAATTTAAATGAATAAATTTTAGTAGGTGAGATGTGTTAGTCGTTGCGTCTGATCGTTTGGTGGCGTATAAGAACTGAACCCTCGCGCAACGTTCCTGTACACCATAGATACAGTGTGTGTTGGTAGCTAACAGCCAACAGCCAGTGAGTAATATACTGTACGGTGTGATATTGTGGATGTGGACGGTGGGGCATACTCGGCGGCAGCCATAATACCACCAACGGACCAACCAAACTTAACGAGCAGGGAGAAAGCGTAGTGTTCGAGTGTCCGATACGTAGTGGTAGTGTTTTTGATTTTAAATTACGTGGATAGTCAACGTTTGAGTCATCAGGTAGGTTTTTAACTAGTTACTCAAACATTATTTATTACCATCATTGCTATTGTTGATATAATAAATAAAGTTTAGTTGGTGTAATCTAGTGACAAATATACCGACATGCCTTATGAGCTTTCTTTATACTTAACGGCCTGAACCGCCATGTTGAATTAAAACCTACGCCAAATCAAGCCAGTGCAATATAGATAGAGTTTACAATTTTTTTATTATTCTTTTAATCAACTTTTTTATCATTTTCATTAAATATTTCATATTGTAGATTTTAAAATACCTCTCTTGTACTCGGTATGTATCACTACTTATTAGTCGTGTTTATCCTGCACTCAGTGCATCAATCATTATCAACTGGTTCAACTCGTTGGCTGGTTGGTTTGCTAGTCGCCTGCCTGTCTGGGCGCGGGTCTGCTGTACTCTGCACTATACCCTTCTCCTGGTCTGATGTACTTAATAATGTTTTGCCGCCACTTCATTCTTTACTTGTACATATTCTAATATAAATATAACTACATATATAACATATATGTACTTATAAATACAGTTGATATTTATTTATTTATTATTTTTTTACATCCACATTTTTAACTTGTATATATAATATATAGAATTTATTTCATGTGCCACTTATATCTATGACTGACCCTGAATTTCAATGCCATGGTGATCGTTCATTATACGTGTTTCATCGTCAATTTATCACTTAAATCTTGTCATTTTAATTTAATTATATTATATTATTATCAATTGATTATATAATATTAAAACATTATTTATCGCGTTGTAATTTTTTTTTTAAATCTAATAATTCTATCGTTTGAAATCTTATTATTTTTTTTCTTGATGGTAAAATTAACAAATATCTGATAATTTTTAGAATTTTTTGATTAAATAATTAAAAAAAAAAAAAAAAAAAAAAAATTACGTGGACATTTTTTAAAAATTATGAATGCAATTTTTTTTTTTTTTTTTTTTTTTTTTTTTTTTTTTTTTTTTTTTTT